TGCAAACTTTGCCGAGCTCAACCACTAACATTCGGCCTGATCAACCGAAGGTTGTGGAAATGCTCACAAAGCCGTCAAATTCTGTTGAAATATTATTAGTTTCTCGGAGAAGAATGAATATTATGAATAGTGAATTAAATAGTCCAGATAGATTTTTATATAATAAAAGTGAAATGAGATTGTATACTTGTCCAGACTTCCGATCATGTATCGCGCGAGACGCATATGTGAGTGAACTGGAGCAATATTGTAAAAAAATGAGTATAAAAGATCTCTTTATTATAAAATTTGCAAGTTGTTTTTTGAATTTGTAAATTGGTTGTCAAAAGAAATAAATAATAAAAATCCATGGTCCGGACCACGACCACATATCCTAAAGGGGGTTAAGCGAATAATTTCTAATGAAGACAAAAAGGTAATCATAAATGACTATCACATCCTACCAACTAGTGGTCATGCCGGAATAAGAAGAATGTTAAAAAACATCAAAAAATCTTATTTTTGGCCTGGAATGGAACGTGACGTTACTGCTTTTGTAGCTAAATGAAAGAAATGCCAAATGCAAAAAGATTCTTTGCCCGTTAAAGAGCCTATGGTGGTAACTAGCACTGCCGCAAGCGCATTTGATATGATATTTTTAGATTTAGTGGGGCCCCTAGATAAGGATTATTATGGTAAGGTATATATTTTAACTATTCAGTGCGAACTCACTAAGTTCGTAGAAGCATATCCTTTAGATCGTAAGGACGCTGTCACCGTAGCAAAATCTTTCGTAGAAAACTTCATTCTCAGGTATGGTATACCGCGAGAAATCGCGACAGATAAGGGTTCGGAGTTCATAGCATCAACAATGAGTGAGGTTTGTAAATTACTTGGTGTTCAACAATTATTTTCCACCGCTTACCATCATGAATCTATAGGTGCGCTTGAAAATGCACATAAAAATTTAAATGCTTATCTTCGGATACAGACTAATAGTTCTAGAGAGTGGAGCACCTGGGTTCCCTATTGGTCTTTTAGTTATAATACTACTGTACACACATCTACAAAATTTACGCCAAACGAATTAGTGTTTGGAAAACTGTGTAAATTACCTACAAATTTGTCTCAACAAGTTGAACCTCTGTACAATAGTGATGATTTTCCATTAACCTTGAAATATAGACTTCAAAAATCTCAGGTACTAGCTAGGGAAAATTTGCTAATGTCAAAAATAGCCCGAAAACGTAATTAATTACGATAAGCAAATAAATCCAACTATTTACGAACCTAATGATTAAATTTTATTACGCAATGAAAATTGCAATAAATTTCAGAATGTTTATATTGGTCCTTTTAAAGTTTTAGAAGATGTGTCACCGAATGTTAAAATAATTAGAGATAATAAAATTGAAACAGTTCACAAAAATAGAACCAAATTGTATAGAACTTAAATTTGTAATATTTACCTAGTTTTATAACCTTTAATTTTTTTTCCTTTTTATTTACCATAAATATTGTGTGTTTTTAGATCTAAGGAATTTTTATAATGAAAATAAAATAAATATGTTGTATTATTTTATTTTATTTTAAAGAAGGGGGTGTAGTGTAGTAATACATATATAATACGTATGTCTATCTTAAGATAAAAGTAGTGATCACTATTGTATTTACTGGAGAATAAATCTGATCGTTGATCTAACAACATCTTTAATTTCTCTCTCGACACCCAACCTTACAATACAATCATTTAAATTCATTGCATTGTTTAATCAACTTGTCAAAATCGTTTGTTGTTAAGTGAGAAATAACACTAAAACGATTTCCAATTTCTTAATTTTCCAATTTCAAATGATTTTTCGAATGTGCATATAATGTAGGTAATGATAAACGTATCTACACGAAATTTTCTTAACCATGCAACTGTACAGTCTCTGATGATCTTTCAAAAACTGACGCATGTGCTGCGAATTATTTTCCTTTGAGACTTATTTTAATTCAACAGCATGCACATTTTATTTATGACTGAACACTTGTTTTCTGTTTTACCAACTTTATTACTAGTTTATCCCCACTTCTCAGGTGTTCTTAGGTGGGAACAATTGGGACCGAGTGTTGTGGGTTCAAGCCCCACATGGAACAACACTTTGTGTGATCAACAAATCGTTGTTCTGAGTCTGGGTATATTTTGTGTCCGTTTCATGTATGTTTGTAAAGTCCCCCGCGATACAGGATTTATTCCTAGTGCGGGAGTTGTCTTTTTTAAAAGAAAGAAAATAAAGAAGTCTATTTCGGTAAAGTGAGTGTTTTTTGCTTTTGTGAAAATTTTAACATTTTCATGTAACAACGTGAGCGTATAAAAGGGTTTACGTTCATTAATGCTTCATTTAATAATTGAAAGAAATAAGTTTCTTTTATCATCATTTTAATTATTTATACAGTCCAACATATAGATTTTGTCGTAATTTTCTGGATATCAGTTTCTTGATTAATATATTGTTCAGTTGCTCCTCATGTATGATTATATTTGTGTGCGAAGCGATTGCTCTTTTCGACTTTTTAAATCTGTGGAAACTGCAATAGGCAATATAAATATATATTTTTATGAAAAATCACGTTTCATTAATACGTTACATGTGTTGACTACATAGTTGAGTAGTTTTATAGTTAGAGTTCTTAACATTATCCCATTTGATCCGTAGGCATTCGAATGGTTGGCGTCTAATAATCTCAAACTTTGAAAACACAACACAAGTCGGACTTGTCCACCAAGGCCACTTGTTCCGTACATTAGGTAAGTAGGTACATATTATATAGTTCAGGAATCAAGTCTCGCAGTTGTATCCACGGTTTTCCCAAAGTTCAGTTTCCAAAACCTATAATTCCTTATACTCGTATTATTGTGTTTTAAGTGAAATTATACCTCGATGATTGATTACGTTCTTTAAGTAAATAAATACTAATTTTTATATGATTTAATTATAAATGTGTAGCTTTCGGTGTTTTCCCCGTTCTCGTTCCTCCTTCATAGTTCTAGGTCAACTGGAACTGCCCTATAAATTTTTGATTCCCTTCAGAGTGTCGAAATATGCGTTTTTACGTTTATGCGTTAGTTTTTCTTTATTTAAGTTAACTTAAGTTTTTTTTTTTCACAGCTTCAAGACACTGTAGACCTGAGTACCTATATGGTTTTAATTTCAACTCGATACCTCCAGGCGTTCCCGAGATAAAGGGTCGTGACAGACAGACGCACAACAAAGTTATCCTATAAGCCTATAAGGGTTCCTTTTTATTATTTTGAAGTACGGAAGCCTAAAAATGGAATCAATTTAAGTCTGAATATAAGGTGAAAGTGAATGTGAAGTAATTGTCCCAGCGGAAACTGTTTTTCTTGAATAACTCCGCAATGGTTGGATGCACAAATTTTTACTTACCATACACAATTACACGTCATACACTAAATATCTGTTAATCTCAAATAATGAAATTCGAACTTTTTCCGCTGGGGCAACGCACACGGATTTAACATAATAGAGGTCATCCATAAAGTACGTTCCACATTAAGAGGTCGGACGAACTTTATGGGGGTCTACGAATTGTGACATTGTGTGACAAGGGGTGGGAGTGGCACTAAAGTTCTACGTACGTCTAAGTACCTAAAGTTTCATGATGACATCACCGAACAATATTCGATCGACAATATTCGAAAACCTAATACATGTAAGTATTAAAAAAATGCGAAATTTAAATTACTAACAGTAATAAATAACGTTTTTTGTTTTGAAAAAAAAAAACAATCATTTTATTTGATGTAAAATTAAATGTTTGGTTATTTAAATGCAATCATAACTGGCATTAAAACTACTAAATATAAGATTGTAAAATATGTGACGTCACACTACTACAACGTAAAGAGGGGTGGAGTCACACAAATGTGACTAGGATGGATCGGTGTCAAAAACCCATGAAATTCCTGTGGCGTAATTTAAGGATGGCCCTTGTAAGTAACTTTGAAATTTTATTAAAAAAACATTTATTTTTATTTAACAAAAATTCTCGTTTTAAAATTAGGATTATTATGGTGAAATAGGATGACACCTTCAATCAAATCACTTTCTTGAATGAAGTTGAAATTGCTACTGCGGTGACCATTTTTTATTATGTTTTACACATTAAATAATACATAACGATATTTAATACACTCACATAAGACACCTCAATTGTAAACTACCACAAAATAAAATTGATGGAGAGGAAGCAGAATTGATAAATTTATTAATAAAAAAAGAAAGACCTATAAAATTATTCGAGTGTCGTCTAGTTGTCGTTAAGTACGAGAAAGCGAAGCACGAGCAGCGACAATATCGGTGAGCCAATCACTAGGCGACATTATGATTTAAATGTCCTACTTCATACCAGCAATAACCGACATCTGCGCGAATTCGAGTTCGTGATCACTCTCTATGTGAGTGTGGTCTCGATGAAGGCACTCTGGAACATATTTTCTTCTCTTGTCCTAAATTGGTTGTACCTCTGTATGATCTACTCCCTCAACAAATATCCCGACCCGTTAATTAATTATTATACTAGGCTTATCTCTTAACTCTAGCCCCATTACTTATACCCCATTTGTCAAGATCCTTTATCATTTTATTCGTATAAATAAAATAAATTTATAATGTTTCCTAATCCTTTTACTGCTATACCTTTTTCTTTTTTTTCTACTGTCCAATAGAACCACTTGGTATTACAAATATTTTCAACCTATTAACTAAAAAATATTTCAAGTTATCCTCTATATCTCTAGTATCCATTCACATTTACAAACAAATTATTCAATTTTAAATAGTAATTTAACAGGTCTAAGTATGCATTCAGGAATAGAATGGTTGATGTAGTAGTAGTTTAAATGACTTTGAAATAATTATATGAAATCAAGAGTGTACGTACCAATAAAAAAAATTAAGATACAGGTTTATGGTATTTGTAAAGTCAAAAAGGGTATCTACAAGGTAAATAATTTATTTTGAAAAGTTGATGGGTTGTATTCCTCTACTCGTTATAACAAACTCAGTCACCATATTAGATAAATCAGGAGCAAACATTACTAATAATTCTCTCATATAACAATTATGCTGATTTTTTTTATCAATTACCGTCATAGTTTTTTTTATCATTATTCTTGTAGAAATCATATTCGACCATGCTAATCCCAAAGATGGTAACAGTGTATTGGATTCATCAAAAGATGCTGTAACTTGGTTTATACAGAGTATAGCCAAGTTATGTTTTTGAGCAATTTCAGTTAATATTATAGCAATTTCTCTTAATTCTTCTGCTCTTTTTATGTAGTTAGTTGACTCACACCGGAATGGTGCAGCTATAGAATCTATAATCACAATTGACAATTTATGTTTAACTAATAGTTTTGGTAAGCGGAGACGAATACAAGCTAACAGTTCACTTGCTTCAGTTATATGTTCTACAAACACATTTTTTCCATAGTCTATGTCACTATCAAATGTAGGTAGAGCTCTCTTTAGTTCTTCAAACCTTTTAACTGGGAATAAATCTTCTGTACAAATGAAAAGGCAGCCATCTCTCCAATTGTTAAGAGCTACCTGTAAGGATAATTGTGTCTTGCCACATCCACTTTCACCATAAATTTCTGTTAAAGTACCTCTGCGGAAACCACCTTTTAAAACACCGTCTATAACATTACATCCTGTGCTAACATGTGTATGTCCACAACTATTTTCACTTTTTAAAATACTTCCAGTAACGACATTAGGACATACAGAATTAGAAACAATATTTTTAACAAACAAAATATCATTAATACTTAGGTTTGTATACTTTTTTATATCCCAAACAGAGAGTGTTATGATTTGTTTTTTCGTAGATATCCCCCCTCTGTCTAACATTTCGAAAATATTAGGAGGTAAGACGTCCTTCAAAGCCATAGAGGACACCTAGAAAAATAACAATAAGTATTTTAGTTTGTGAGTAATAAGAAAGAAAATATAAATTAGGTAAACAAACGAATTTAATGCAATTTTCAGAAGTTAGAGCAACTTTTTAATTTTAATTACCTACTTTGTTTGACTTGACATATTATCATGCTACCTCTTGGCTCTGAGTTAGGGATTAGGGATACGCATAAAGAATCGATACCTCAGGGTATCGATATATTTGTGTCGATACCAAGTACTTTTGGAATCAATACTTTTGTACCGATACTTTTGAGGTATCGTTACTTTCGTTCTCCCGATTTCTAATAAATAATTAGCTTAAGAAAAATAAAAAAAGTGTAGTGTGGTTTTATGAAACCATGACGTAAGTGAAACTTTTTTCGAATCAGTCATCTGATGCAAGCGCTGCCATATTGGCCTAAACCGCTCTTCCGGCTATAATGCGACAATCAATAGATAGATCTTTACGGGTTGAATAATCTGTTTAGTATTTTTGAAGTGAAAACTTCTTTAGCGGCGTTGTACACTTTTTTTGTAAATGGTAAAAAATGTTAAACTCGCGTCAGGACACATGACCTGATCGAAAATTCGTAAGACGGATGGATAGTGGACAGCCGCGCGGCGTAGGAGAAGAAGTATCCCCTTCTCTTTCTACGGTGTGACGAAAATGTATGCCTGCGCCTGCTGTTTCGTTTAGGCGGCGCAGGGCGCTTGCGCGAATGTTCGTGTGTGTCAAAAATGCACAACGTTAATATTCAAGTTTTCACTACTGCCGGCACTCCCGGAGTGCAACCCGTCGTTTTTTTTTGTTTTTTAAACGATTTCACCTTTTCACTTTTCTGAAAATTGCAGCTCTTAATGGTGTTATTGCATTATTTGAACAGCATCTTTCAGTTCCTTAGTAATAGGAAAGTACTTCTCTGACATATTCCTGAAATAATAAGTAGCAAAAGTCACCGCATTATGTGAGTTGTAGAGAAGGTGCCTACTGTATGAAATTATTCTTTTCGCTTTCGTCTCGTCTCACTTGAAAAAAAAAAACGTATGTTATATTAGTCATACTTGCATTTAAAGTTAAATCAATCTCAAGAAGATGCCGCCTTCAGGTGAAATCCGCAAATGTGAAAGTATTTAAAAAAAAAGATACAGCATCGTGTGAAATGTTTCAAAATACTGAAAACAAGTGGGAAGGGGAATGTTTTTTTTTTGGCAAATTTAGCAACACAAACAACACTCTTTTATAAATGTATGTGTGAGTGGATACCAGAGATATACAGGATAACTTGGAAAGAGCATAAGGAGTACATTTTGTATAGTTACCGGAACCTCAAGTAACCGGGACGGACGTATTTGTCAACACATGGATTAAATGAGGCTAACACTCATAGAGATTTAAGCATAGAGAGAACACGGGCTACAGCTGCCTGTAAGTGAAAGCGATACAGGCCATGAGAGAGATGGATGAGAGATAGTTCGTTTTGTCTCTGTTTAGCTAAGCTGAAATTGGCTATCGTGAAGTGGGCATAGTTTTGATCGTAGAACAGGCGGGAGATTAGAAATTTTCCTAGCTAACCAGAGAGCTCGACTAGAAAGAGACAGAGGGAACTATCTCTTCTCTCTCGTTGTCTATATTGCAAGTTTGGGGCTCCTGTTCACTCTATGCTTATTACTCTATGTTAACACTACTAGCATAACGTCAACCAAAGAATGTCAAGACTGTCAATGTCAGCTGGTTAAGAATGTGCTAGCGTTGTCGCGTTTTCTTTTCTTTTTAGCTGCCGGGGACCGGTGCGGTGACCTAATCTTAAAATAGAAATAATATATTGAATCTGTCAAACTTCTTCTATCTGGTGACAAGAATTCTACTAGTGCATATCACCATGGGTGGGCGGAACAAGCTTCAAGACCTTTTCCGCGAGTTACCAAAAATGTTTACATGGTCTTATTTGAAAGACTTAATCATCAATCCTAAGCGATTACCATTCGTCAGTCTACTTATCATCATAGCTGAACTTATCATTAACTTGTTGGTGGTGGAACGTGTCCCATATACTGAAATCGATTGGAAGGCTTACATGCAGGAATGTGAGGGATTCTTAAATGGTACCTTCGACTACAGTCAGCTACGGGGTGATACTGGACCTCTAGTGTACCCTGCAGGATTCGTGTACATTTATTCTTTCTTCTACTTCCTAACAAGTCGAGGTGAAAATATTAAATTAGCACAGTACATATTTATTGTAATTTATTTATTGCAGTTATGCCTTGTTCTTAGGATTTACATCAAAACAAAAAAAGTTCCACCTTATGTTCTTGTGATAACAATACTAACGTCATACAGAATACATTCAATCTATGTACTTAGATTATTTAATGATCCAATTGCTGTTCTTTTTCTTTATATAGCTTTAAATTTCTTTATGGAATCTAAATGGCACCTGGGTAGTATATTTTACAGCTTAGGTGTTTCTGTGAAGATGAACATACTTTTATACGCCCCAGCTCTATTTTTCTTTTATCTTGTCAATTTAGGATTTAACGGAACAATAGTTCAATTGTTAATTTGTGGTCTTATTCAAGTGGTTTTGGGTGCACCATTTTTATTAACAAGCCCTGAAGCTTATTTGCGAGGAAGCTTTGATTTGGGGCGTGTATTTAATCACACATGGACTGTCAATTACAGGTTTCTTGATATAGAAGTGTTTGAAAATAAATGTTTTCATTTATCACTATTAGGTGTGCATGTTCTCTTACTGATTATATTTATACCCATGTGTGTCAAATATTTCAAAAGCTACTGTCGCCTCAAGTATGTTCAACATCAATTTCAACCACAGATTGATGCTAAAAATCTAGAAAATAAAAGGAAGTATAAACTTAAGAAAGACATGAAACATAAATTGAATAAGAAGGGTGAAGAAGAAGAGACTCTAACAAGAGAACAGGAGGATTTCTTGAACTCATTTGAAACTATGTTGCAAAAATCTTCTGATAAAAGTAAGAAAAGTGCTAAGAAAAACAATTGCAGAACCCATTGAAGATTCCAATTACAAGATTGATTTTGGTATTTTAGCTCAACTTTTTATTTTACCAATGTTTATTGTCAACTTCATTGGTGTGATGTGTGCTCGAAGTCTTCACTACCAGTTTTATTCATGGTATTTTCACAGTTTGCCCTACTTATTATGGTCTAATAATTATTCTGTTATAGTTAGGTTCCTCATCTTAGCTCTCATAGAAATGTGTTGGAATACATACCCTAGTACTGAGGTATCAAGTGCTTTACTGCATGCTTGTCATATATGTGTTCTTTTTGGAGTATACAGAAAATTATCAGCTGAATTAAAGATTGTTACTAAAATAGAATAAGTTTGATTGTCCACGTCTATTCTCTTTGTACAGTAGTCATTACAATTGTATGAATTGAAATTATATACATATTTTAATATTTTATAGTTATGGAATTGTTTGACATATTAGGGTAAAAAATAAGTTATTAGATGCATAAGATACATTTTCATTTTTTTCAAGTATTACCTAAGTATAAGCAATAGACCTCATAGTTCAGTAGTAGTATCAAAACAGTAATGAACAATAAAACAGATTCTAAGAAAGATTTAGGTCTTGATTTAATGTCCAATTCATACAATCTGCAGTGCTCATTGACTGTATTTATTTTTCTCGTAAAGTGATCAACACAAAGGCATCATGATGGATATCCAACTTTATTATATTTTTATAAATATTGCACTACTGAGCACTATTTTACATTAGCTATTATAGTATTACAAATGTGTTCAAAATTTGTGATGTCTACTATACTGACCTTTATTAATTTAAAAAATCACCGACGGGTACCTCCAAGTACTAACCGGTCAGGTGGATCCAAATCGAACATAAATTTGCAGTGCCCAACTTCTTTAAAAAATTACAAGTATGTATATTTCCTTTACATAAATTAGTCAATTCTTTATGAGTTTTAAGTTTGCGTAGAACGCTGACTTGAGTAAAATATTCTTCGTGATTACATTTCTTAGGAATCTTATCTTATAAGACATTATATTATCTTAATTACTTGAGGTAACTAACCCAATTTCTAAGATTAAACTTCTATGTCATGTGTGTGGCGCAATGAGTATTGCCACAGATTCATGGAAATCTCTGCACCTAGCAAAATAAAATATACCTTAGAAGGTATGTATTTTAAGTGTGTTCACGATTTACAGTACAATTTACGATTTTTGTACGATTAAATGTGGTGCGATGCGACGATAATATGCAAATAAACTTTTATTAAGTACTTTAACTGTTTTTTTTTTCAAAACATAAGTGTGGGGGCCTAGTGTGGGTTTATTTCATATCAATTCGTCAATGGCGGCGACCAAGGGTGTATTTATCCAAGGGTCATGGCCCGGGGTGACAGGCTGCATATGGCGGCGCAAATCGTGATGTCGGGGATTCGGGACCTCATGTCACCCTACCGTGTGTAGGAATCGAACCGGCTACAAACACTCGGTGTGCCACTAGCTCACTCAGCCAGGGATCCAGGAACAGCTGTTATCCGGACCTCTCCTAGCGCCTCCTCGCAGGTGGCCACTATAGCAGATGTAGGGGAAAACCCATCCCGTCTAGCTACATTCAGATTGGCATGAGGCGCTAGTAAGGGCGCACCGTGATCCGGTTTGCCGACGCGCCAAAACACGCGCTCACCAGACCTTGCACCTACCGACTACTTATTACTTTTTCCAAAATTTAGACAACTTTTTAGTGGGTAAAAAATTCAATTCCCGAGAGGCAGTACAAAATGCCTTTGAAGAGTTTGTTGCCTCCGGTCCAGCTGATTTTTACAAGAAGGGCATCAATAAACTGCCAATGCGTTGACAAAGATGCGTCGATTGCATGGGTGATTACTTCGAATAACAGAAATAAAAGAGTTTGAAAAAATAAGTACTTTCACTTATTGCATACAAAACGGCAATTTCATAGGTAAAGACCTATTATGATGTAGACTTATGAATGCTTCGTACCGATGTTTTCTAGGTTTGAAGGAACGAACGTGAGCCGTCGATGTTTCGCAGTAGAGTCCAAAATTCGAGTTTGGAATAATGATTTCTTGAAAGATAGATTGTTTTTTTTTACGTGGTTGTGTATAGGTAGTTGTTTGTGATTTGTGCAGCTTGTAGTTGAATACCTTGTTTGCGCGTCGGAGAATTTCTTCGAAAAGTATCCGAGTGGTTGCCAGTTTTCATTCACACACTGTTGTAACACTGTTGTTGCAAGGCGCCAGCTGATTTGGACGCGTCGCAGAATAATGCGTAGGTGGCTTGATGTGATGGATGAGCGAGTAAAGTAGCGTTGCTTATGCTGGTTTTACACATTTCAAATGCTTGTGATTCTTCAGTCCACTCAATGATTGTTTTGTCGCGTTTTGTGCAAGGAAGCATTTAGAGGTGCTTGAATATGTGCGGCTCGTTGCTCAGCAGTGTATCGGTGGGCCTTCAGTCTCGATGTAATGATTTTATTGCTGAGATTCATCGCTAACTGCGATCTCTTGTTGTCCCAAGGATTTCGGATAAAATGCTGTGGTGCGCATTCTCTATATCGATGCTGCGTATTGTAGGGAGGTTTGTAGCTCGGATCGGTGCGCTTACCTTGAGGTTAGTGACGTTGTCTATAAGCGTTTTGTTCTTCAGATCGACGGCTAGTTGGTGATATTTTAGGAAGTCAGCGCCTATGATTGGTTTTAATACGTCGGCTACCATGAAGATCCATTTGTACGGGCGTCGGAGGTTGAGGTCGAGTTCCAATTTCTTCGCTCCATATGTACCTAGATATAACGGAGTTGTTGACGGCGTATACTCGTACTTTGAAAGGGGGTGGTTGGCTTAGTTGACCTTTTATTCCAGGTAGTACGGATATATTAGCCCCCGTGTCTACCAAGAATGACAGTCCGGTCTTCTTATCTGTGCCGTAAAGACGGTATGAGTATTCGTGAACGCCGGATTCCGCCCCGGCCAGCGCGCTTTCTTGTTTTTCTGTGTTGTACTTACAGGGTGTAGTGCTTGAAACGTCGGTGATAGTAACAGTAAGGTGATGGCGTCCCGACCCGTATCTGAAATTGTTTCTTAACTAACAACACATCTAGCAGTAGCCACAAGACTATTATTCCGTATTGTTTGAACGTCTTTGAGTGTAGTAGTAATAAAGTCGCTTTAGTCGTCAGAAGGTTTATTATTCCAAATCAACGAATTCAAACATACCAATCGTACATCCTTTTCATCAAAGTTAAACTGTTGTGAAATGTATTCTAAAGCGCCATGTTTATTATTATTCTTGTGTGTTTATCGTGACGAAGTCAATTGTGACGAGGAGTATGTTCGAACAGATAAAGTCAATCTGTTGCAATAGATACACAGGTAAGTACATATCTAAATAAACAAACAGACAAATACATTGCTTTTTATGCTTTGTATGTCATTCGAATTTAGTATAAGCATACAAGAAATGGCACTACGGGCATCAAATCCAGGCCTAACCTACAAGGGCGGGGGGTAATTCTTACACAAATGTTTAGATTTAGATAGTACTTAGTAGTGTCACTGACACTGACTTGGCCACCATTAGGGGTTTTAATTTTTATAACAAAAGATTGGTCGGAATTTGTCGTCAAATATCAGAATTTTCAAAAGGTTCGGTTCAAATCAAATCAATTAATTTATTTTGCGAACATGGGTATACATATTAAGGTGTTAATAAAGGTACAACAATGAGCAGCCACATTCTACCTCAAGGCATGCAAAAAAAAAATAGTTTTTACAAAAATACATAATAAAAGAAAAACATAGGTATGGTAAATTTGAATAGCAGCAATGTCAGCAATTTCATGTCAAAACCATGATTTCCCTTTATACAATTCTGTCATTCATAAAGTCAGTAACACTATTATAACATTTCGCAACCCAGATATTTTTTAATTTATTTTTAAATAAGTCAATATTAATTTTTTTCATGTAGGATGGCCGTTTATTATACATTTTTAACTATTTTTAATAATTTTTAAATATTTTTTAAACTATTTAACTTTATTATAAATCAAAAGTTATAAATGATTATAGATGACCGACCTGGGATCAGTCTCCCCACCTTGGCCACGCTTTTATCTCAAAAAATAGGGCACCTAGCGAAAATCTGTTCTCTCCAAATTTAGTCATCATCATCAACCTATCGCAGTCGCCAGTTAGAAAAGATGTAACAAGTTAAATTTTTATGGTAGGTATAGTCTAAGAGCTAGATCGAAGAGTTTACGTAATATTATATGTGTGCGTCTAGTTTTATCGGTCTTAAGACCTCAGAAATCTCAGAGAGAGGTAAATTCTCAATTAAATACATGTTTTTATGTTTTAAATTACGGTTATGTTGTATTTTGTTTTGAATTAATTAAATTAAAATATAAAGTAACTTATTCTTTGAAAACATTAAACCTAGCTCTTGATCTAAACCAGACCAAAAAAAAAAAAAAAATTGGAACGCTTCACGATTTTGCGTGTCATCCTTGCGCAGGGGCCATGCTAATCTTCTCTGTATCGTTCCAATTTTAGTATATGTACTGCCGAAGCGAGTACGATCTAAACCAGACCAAGAGCAAGGTCCCATACATACGAAATTGTAGCGTTAGGCTCTAATTTACGTTAGAATCATAAAACTTCTGTTGCCGAAATAAGAATATATGATTTACGTAAAAATTGTCGTTCCTTTCATAAAATGTTTGTGACCGTGACCGTCGACCGACATTCTGATATTTGGCGACTGATTCCGACTAATTAGCTACTGAATTTGGGAGTAAACAGATCTTCGCTAGATGCCCTAATTTTCGAGATAAAAGTGTGGCCAACCTGGGGGGACTGACCTCAGGTCGGCCACCTATAAACGCTAATAACTTTTGAACCAGTGACCGACATATTCTGATATAAAAAGTCTAAACTTGATTAAAGATTTGGTTTGACCAAGTTAATAGTCTCACTAACTATTTTCCTTTCTTTAACTTTCAATTATTCAATCCTGTGTCCAATCATAGTACTGACATAGGGGTACAAAGTTTAATTGTAAAAGGAAGTCTTCTACAAGTGCAGTATAATTTTCTGACGTTCTGTTTCCGATAATGTTTTGCAACACATCTTAATTAAAGCTTTCTGAGTTCTGAAGCTTGTTTAGTAAGATTCAGATCTCTTACAAGATCATCCAACTCATTTTCTAAAAAGCATTTTAGTTCGTTTGATGCAATTACAAAATCAGTACCATGTCCTGAGAAACTTAGTATTTGACTGTCTTGTGTTAAGAGCTCTGATGTATTGATAGACATTGAAAAGTCATGTTGTAACAGTTATTTTTTTAGTATATTTGTATTGCGTACGGAGTTGTCAACAGCGACACCTATTGCCCACGTCGCATTTTTTTTGATTTATCCAAAGTAGTTTGTAACTATAGTATTGATGTTCTTCGTCCGCCATCGGACCACTAGATGGCGTTGTTTTATAGGTAAGTCATTGTATTAATTTATCCTGACAAATTGTATTGGTGTTAAAAGTGTCTTGTTATCGTAGGAAGCGAGTTACTTTTGATTTAGTTCGTGTTAACCTAGATAATAATTTGAGTGACAGTTTAAAATATTAAAGTAGGGATTCTTTCTGGAAACTTCACAAACCAAACATATATAAGTCCGGCTTTCAGCCACAGGGGACACTCTGCTAATTCTTGTCTTTCGATCTTAAATAGTATTTTGTCTGTCTGATTTCATCTTAGTAATATTTTATCTGTTCGAAGTACCCACGCCAGTGGTGAGTATATTCATAATTTTCTTGTACTTATTTGTTTCTGGAACCTGATCGATAATATGAGTGCTAATCCATTCGTAGGGCTCTAGATTTCGGGTCAAGACGGTCAGTCTCAGTACATTTACAGTACATTCGGGAGATCAAGACTTTTCATTTTTATCCAAGGATATCCCGAGATACAGGTAATAAAGAGGCATTTTTAACACACTCTGCTGATACAGCGATTCTATACTCTTCTAACATAAATTATACACATTTATAGCAAAAATGATTTGGGTTGTTTTAACAACTTCAAAACTTAATAATTATGAAATTATTCTATTACACTGAAATACCCACGTTATAAACGAATAAATGAAGAATTTATTACTTAAAGGAATTTTTCGGATAATATCTGCGGCCGGTTTATGAAGCACAGTAGTTATTACTTCCTTTATTGCTGGCAAAAAATAACTCTTCTCCGATGTTGTGTGGTTTGCCTTTTTGAGCAATTAACAAATAGATATTTTACGAAGCTCGAAGTCCGTCGTCAGCTTGATTAGCAGCCGCCGAAAATAGTTTTGCTACACTTGCTTGCTAGCTCTTGAAAATATGCTACATTCTTGTCTTTCTTATCTGGATGCATTTTGTTCAAATGATCTTGCAGTCTTGAAGGCTTCATTGCTTCATTCGAAAATGTTTTTAGACATTGAAGGCACAAAGGCTAAAGGTAAGGAAGTTCGGCCGCATATGGAATACTGTTTTCATGTCTATGCAGGGGCACCTCAGTACCAGCTTCTCCCTCTGGACCGCATCCAACGAAGAGCGACTTGAATCGTCGATAGCCCAAACATCTCCGATCGGCTCGATCCCTTGGCGTTAAATAGAGATGTGGACTAATACCAGCCGCAAACCGCCATCGTTCCACACGGCAAAATCTTCATCCTCATTACCTGGATATTTGGCTCTCCACTACTGTGCGCTTTTCGAGACATTTTTTGCCCCGCACAACCAATCTGTGGAACGGATTATCATCTGCGGTATTTCCGTACCGAGACGACCTTCAAGCAAAGAGTGTACTCCTTCCTAAAAGGCCGGCAACGAGTTGCAGACGTTCATGGGCGGCGATGGTCACTTTCCACCAGGTGACCCGTCTGCTCCCCTCTAACATAAAAAAAAACAATAAAAAAAGAGGAAATAAATCTCTTAATTAATATTAGTTGATGTTCACAAGTTGTGGTCGAGAGTCGAGAGTCGGTGTCTAAGAGTCCTCCTAGCTAGATGAAATTACAAATCGCCGCCAAGCCTCTACACAACGCCCCCATTTTTTTTCTGGGTCACTTACCTTTAGGCCACCCCACTAGGGGGCGTTATCGCCCACTTTGGGAAAGGCTGGTTCATAGGTAATGATACAGGTTCATTTAGCTTTAGCCAATATTAATTTGAACCCACGAAGCTAAGTTAGTGACACTAAGCCTGGTATTGATCTTTCAACTCCACATACAGGTGTTAGAAAATTACCGGAGCAGCAAAATAGTTCACTTGCGACGCATTTTTCGAAAATACGTTAAACACGTAAATTTTCCCTGGCTATCTCCACTGGTGACCTTGATCGCAATCTTGAAGGCTATCTCAAGGCTCAAGGGCAATTTTCAAATGGGATTGCATATTTTTGAGCCCGGAATAGAAGAGAGGAAAAAAATACAATCGGACATTACCCTCAGTAGATATAAAATATAAATAAAAAAAAAATACGCAAATATCGACCTTTAAAGGTCACCAATCCAAGGTCAAACTCACACGTTTAGTGGTGAAAATAGTGGTTTTACGGTCATGTCTTATTGTGATTCTTAATTTTTTACTTAATTAATACTTAATTATTAATAAAATAAGGATCCTATTTAAAAAATGTGACAGTGACCTTAAATTCAGATCAGTTTACCCATTCGTAATCGGAGGTCTCTACTCAATAGCCAGGAAAAAAACCGTGAATCTTATAGCTTGTCTCTTACTTAAAGAGAATAACCAATTTCAAGTTTGCCGAGTACAAACAAAGTAACAAGAGTAAATTGATTCTTTATTTTTTGGTGACCTTGTATTCAAAATTTTCGTCATATCCAATTGTAATTTTAACGATTTTCAATTCTGGGCTCAAAAATATGCAATCCCATTTGAAAATTGCCCTTGACCCTGGAGATAACCTTCAAATTTGTGATCAAGGTCAATTTCAAGGTTACCAATGGGTAGCCAGGGCAAATGCCTGTAACTTTTGTGTTTATTGCCGAAAAATGCATCCCTAGCTAATTGTTCTGCTGTTCCGGTACTTTTCTAACACCCGGTATGTGAGGCGCGGAGTCTTATTCACAGGCTACCATCACCCTAACAGCAAACTACTTAAGTTATTATTCGTTTTGTGCCCTTCGTCTTAAAATGTGTTATTTCTTCTTGAAAAAAAAAACATTCAAATTATACGGACTTCACTTCACTGCTTAGGTTACATCTTATTTTTATAGTGCAAATAATAACAACAATTTAAGCGTTTTGAGATTGTTTATTATGAACCGTATTAATACAACTAATCAAAGGAAATCTAATTATATTCTTAAATTTAGAGATTGAGGCGCAAAATACTTCCTCTGATATCACAATACCACCATAGCTCGGATCTGACGCCTCTTCTACCCAAGCGTACCCAAAGTATTTATAGCAGTATACCCATCGTACTGTATTATCTCTTATATAATTTTTACTATATAACAAAGCTATAAACAATTGAAATATTCTTTTTTCACGCTGCTGCTTGCCATCGACGGAAATAGTACAATTAATACAATGGAGATGAGAAAAGCAATCAAATGCATATTAAGTTAGGCCATTAGAAAAAAGTCCAGGAAATTAATACTAAAAAGTTTAGAAAAATCAGTAAAAACATGTTGATTTCTGATTAGTATCTTCAAGTTCCAACTAATGGTATATGTATAATAGGAGTTGCGATTTCCATAGTCCTTTTAAATAACAGTTAAATACTTATGGTCTATGAGCTTAAAAGTTTAACAATTACTATGTACTTGTGCGGACCTTCCTTGGGCCTTCTAACAAAATTACTGCATATTGAATATTACTATTCAGTCAAAACACCCAGTCATATAGAGATAAGGATTCGTCGAAAAATATTATATGAATAGAAATATACACCAGTACAGTCCATATTAGAAGTAGTTAATACTAACAGTGGTTTTAAATAAAATTAGCTATTTAAAGATGTTTACAAGGACAAATAATTTCTCTAATCTTTAACTTATAGCGAGAGAACTCAGCAGCAGTCTTACATGACTGGGCTTAAACTTAAGTTTATATATAGATAACAAATAGTGACGAATGTCTAGACGAAGCCAAAGTTCTTAGTTTTAATGGCAAGCAGTAACTTATGCTTGAGCACGTGTCGCGACGAATACAGCGGTATGTAGAGGCGCGATATGCACGTATTAGCGGTGGGCAAATGCGCGTCGTCCGCCGGTCGTATCGTCACCGACGGCATCGGTTGAAAACCTTCTTCGGACGCCGGCAACGCTGGCGATCCCGTCCAAAAGTAAACCTGCGATATAAAATTACACAAGTCACAATAAAGTACCAATTATACTAAATCATTTGTGTAAATGTAGTTGAAAAATATATCTACACTAATATTACAAAGCTGAAGAGTTTGTTTTATTGAACGCGATCTCAGGAACTGACTACTACTTCAAATTGAAAATTTTTAGTGTTGGATTGCCAGTGTATTTAACGAAAATAGCTTCAGGCTATTTAACATCACGCTACCGCTTGGAGCCGACCATTAATGATTTTTTTGGAAAAAACGGGGAATTTTTTTATTCCTTTTGAGACACAGACGAAGTTGTGCGGGTAGCTAGCAGCTAGTATAATAATAAGATTGATTAGGTTATGTTATCTAGGTTAGGTTTCCAGACTGTGATGTGCCATATTTCATATAAATCGGTTCAGGTGTTATAATTGAGTAACAAACAACTATCCAATCTAATAGTAATAATTATCGTTTTCGAATTTTTTATCTGTTTTAGTTTATAAAAACTTGTATTTTACTTACCAGACAGAATAAATATACCAAGAATAAGTTCCGTCAGAGTCATTGTACTGATAAATTACGGAATGTTAAAACATCTACGTAGGAGTAGCGGTCAATATCCATCACCAATTATAAGGATATTACTCATTTTCATAGCAAAATTGCAATAATTTAACTTCTCTAGCGAGAAGCTTCTTATGCTAGTACCTTTGTACTTCTACAATCCGGTATAATAAGAATTAAAATTTTTAATGAATTTTTTTAGGTGTAAAACATTATTGCTTTAAAAACTAAATAATAATCTATTTACGACCACTGCTTACACTTGCCTGAATGTGAGTGTAGACAGTGGTGGAAATGACAGTATTTAAGAAACCACGAACTAAAAAAAAAATACAAATCGAACTGTAGTAAGTAATGGTTCTATAAAACATCTTACCAAGTCTTGTCTTTCCAAATGCGTCATTTTATCTACAATGGCCCAAAGCCAGCGTTTGAACCGGGCGAGTCGCTCTGGACGTTCGCCGCTCTCATCGTTGAAGCTGGTATATGAAACTAATGCAGCCACGTTTATATCTCCAACGCCGTTTAGCAGTAATCGGAGATCTTCAGCTGTTAAACCTTCAAGTGTGGTTTCCGGTAACACATCCAGAACGCCCACGCGCATAGCCTTTAAAACATAAATAAATTTCTTTGTAAAGTATTCGAATGAGAGAGTATATACATCTATAATTTTAATAGTATGTATCATCAATAGCCGTGAGTAGTACACTTCTGGACATAGGCCGTTCCTTAGAAAGGCGGTTTTGGGCTACTATACCACGCTGGCAAGAGCACTGAAAGAGAATGAATCTATTTCAGTGTTGTTGTCCTGCTTAGTTTGCTCCTGTACTCAGCTCTTACAACACCCTCGGGATGAATACGGGTGGTGACACTCTGTATTCTTAATCCGTCACCACACGGACGGAAGTATCTATGCTTGCCTAAAAAAAATCAAATTAAAATGAATATTGGATAGAATTACCTCAAGTGCCTTCTCTTGCGAGAGCAACATTCTGTGCTGCGCGTACTTGCGCACGTAGTCGTAAACATTCAGAGCTGTCACCTCAACATCACGTCCGCCTGGCACTAGTTCTACACAACCACCGCCTTCCTCTTCGCACATTTCCAAACTGTAGAGAGAACATCAATTTAAAATGAAGACAAACAAATAGCAATCAGAATGTCTAAATTGTGAACAAATTACGAAACAAAAATTATTGTCTTGCTAAGACAATAATTTTTGGTTTTAAAGAATAAAAACAAATTGTAGATATTTTTAAGTAATAGTTTACGAACGTCTGGTGCAATAAGTTACCTAAAGTTGAGATCTAAAGCAGCGAACAAAGAGTGCGAGTCTCCCGTTTCAGCGTCTACGACCAACTGTCGAAGACTCTCGTACACAACGGGATCGAAAAATGCTAGGTCGTGGAATCTCACCGGCCGGCCCAGAATATATTTCAGTACATGTCTATTTAGGAACATCGGACAGAGCTCATTTTGTAGGAGACAAAGACCGATTATTCTGAAAAAAAAAACTCAATTAGTAACAATTTAGGACGTCGCTCTGTAAGTCAGTACACCGACGATTTTAAAAACATTCCTACCTTCCGACATTTCTAAAAGCATTAATTCTCTCGGGCGTTGCGCGTCCCTGCCGAGGCGAGTAGTAGCCGCGCTTGCCTGGCGAGTAGAACAGAGGTGCAGCGTCGTCGGTAGGCGCGGAAGCGGCGCTCGAAGTGCCAGCGGCCGCTGGGCTCGCCACGGGCGCGCCTCCACTAGGCGCTCCGCCGCCGCCGACGCCGCCGCCGCCGCCGCGGTCCGATAGAGAGAATACGTCCAAATCTGTTGAGGAAAGTTAAATATTCATATTACAGAATGTCTGATTAAACGTTAGCATTCCACAGGTGCGCTGTCGACTTTGAATACCTAGAATGGCCTCGGAGGGATGCATGACGATGAGATCCATAGCTTCGCGCACCTTCTGCCGAAGCGCGTCCTCGCTGGCAAGCAGCACGAGCAGTTGTGCTGGCGTCAGCTCCAGCAACATGCCTGTTATTTTGCCAGCGAATGTCGGATGAAGTGCGTGAACCTACAAATTATAATATTAACCGATTAAAATATTTTTAAAGATTACACCGACCCCATTTCACATCGTAAAACTTAATTCAAGTTCGAGACTGTTAGAACAAAAATATATTTTATTCTTCCTGCCTTTGAGCCTTTTTCCCAAACCAGGTGGTGGGAATAGACTTCAGTCTACTACGTTACGGCTGAACCTTGTATTTTTTTAATACCATCGGACCTCCACAACCCAAGTAGAAGACAAGTTCGAAACTTCTGTAGAAAATCTGTCTTTTTAGGGCTCCAACTACCTGTAACGATTGCCACAGATGTTCGTATAGCAGCTGTTATGAGGCCATTTTAAAAAGAAATACTTTTATATAGCTATATAAAATATATCGCAAAAAATAATGTATATCCTTCTTACCCTAGGATAAAGTCGTTCGCCTAACTGTGCCTGATGAAGAGTCAAATGATCATTATGTCCTCCCGGTCGCTCTCCGCTATAACCTGCGCCTTCAGTTCCTGGAGCAGCCTAACAAAGAGAAGAACGGATAAGTCATATGTCTCTAACGCTTTTTATGTATCGTAAGAGTTAAATCTTTTACATTTACAATAGTTTCCATTTTCATTTCTGCTAACTTGAATTTCAATATGAGTAACATTCATCCAATGGCCATCACACTGAAAGCTATCAGAAGTATGAAAATATACAGAGATTGAAATCTCTCTTACTCTATACCGTTCAAATGAATTTTACAGTTTGTGTTAAGGAGATAAGTAAGTTGTAAAACGTGAAAAGCTGTGAACGTGTCTATCTATCAAACTTATATTATGAAGACAAAAGTATCAACCATTTAATTTTGTGAGCCCATAGGTCTTGAGTTTAATGCCAACAGACAGACAATTGTGAGATGAGCACCACCATTTGATCAAATCGGAAAAAAAAAACGAGACAACATTAACTACTATACAAAATAATTGTGCAAATAAAAAATTCCAAATGAACTTTTATGTTAAATGCGTTCATTTTAAGGTTTTTAATGAGATATTTATACTAAACATGAGAAATTCTAAGTATTTGTAAACTAAAGATAATATGTCAGAAAACTATATTATACTTTTACCTGAGGAGAATACGGCCTTGCGTCGACACTTAGTACTCGACGAGGCTCCCTCGCCGCAGGTGGGCGGGGCGCTGGCCTGCCGGGAGTTCGTCGAGCTGCATCTTTGGACCGTGCACGACCAGCTCCACTACTAAAGACGAAAAAAAAGGATTAAGAATAATAAATATACAAATGATGATGACTATTTATATAAAAAACTGCTAGTTCTAATGTTGATAATTCTGTATACCAAAGTATTCTCCATTTCCAGCAATACTTGATACCATTCCAGGGCTAATAAGAATACCATATGGAAAACCTTTAGTTTTTGTTTGTGTATGTTTTGTTGTTATTTATAAGTATTCAAATAAATATTACTTGATTTAAATTACGAATGATGGAAAAATCAATTACCGAGCTCCACTATTATTGCTTGCACCAGTAGCATTTGTACTAACTGATCCTGAAGTGCCATTAGTACTGCTACTGTTTTGTCCACTCCCAGTTGTCGCTTCCAAAGGTGGTAGTTTTTCATTTGCTAGTAAGGCCTGAAGAATAAAATATTTCAAGAACAGAATATTTCGAACGGTGACCATGTTTGAAAAGGAACCATTTCTTTCACAGTTTTTCCGTGACACAAAATAATATTAACAATACAATTTCAGAATAAAAATTATGGAAACCGAAATCAAATATATATCTCTTACCTCGGCAACACTAGTATAGAAAGATCGTGCGACACCACTGCCCTCTCCAGGCTCATCTCTGAAAGTTACTTTAACTCTGTTTACTACTAGAGGTGGCTGTGCACTATGAGCGCGTCTACTTTGGCCTGCAAACGCGCTGTTCAATTCCGAAAACGTTTGTTGTAGTAGCTTAGCTCGGTCTCGTTCCATCTAAAAGAAAATAATAAGATATGAATATTTGACAAATAACAGTTTAATTTCAGTTCACCCCTTTAGAATCAATACATTCGCAAGTCTAAAAGTGTATGCTCTCATATATGCTTACCTTGTGTAATGACAAATCTCTTTGCTGTGAATTTCTTAGTTTCTCCATATCTCTTCTGAACTTTGCCTCTCTAAGCGGGAATCCACCTAGTTCGGCAACCACAGACCCGGGTTCTAATCCTACATCTTCGGTAAATACTCGTCCAAATAAGTCTAATGACAACCTCCATCGGCCCAGTAACAGGTCGTGTGAAACAGAGGCACCTAAAGATGGGCATGCTCGACTGAAAACATAAATATATTCATAAATGCCATTTAGCTACTGAGTACTGCATTTAAAGCCCTTATACTGCATTTAAAAAGGATGCAAAGTTTTTATTAACAAATGTTTAGAAGTATTTCATACAAGAAGGCAAACTTACGGTTGAGCAGACGCAGTAAGGGTTGGTAATAATGGAGGTGGTAGGCCTGTAGTTTCAACTGTCACATGGGCTGATATTTCCTGAGATTCGAGAGGGTCTGCTACGCTAAGGAGTTCCCCCTAATAAACAATAATAAATAGTAAACAAAACTTATAACAAGATTGATATATCTAGACGAAAGCTATGTTATTTATTAACACATAAAAGTCAATTGATTATTCAGAAATTTCTTAAGGCCTTTATTTCCAATTAAGGTGATGGGTTATAATTTTGATAAAGAAAAAGTCCCCCAAATAAGTGGAGCGACTTACAGCACGTACAATAACACTCTTCCCAGGACTTCTTGACAATGGCGTGCGTGACTCAACCCCTCCCGAATTTGATCCACTTGGCCCTAAAACATATATTGAGATAATTCACATATAACGAAAAAAGATGCATGCCAAACATTTAGTAAAGTAATTACTGCTGAACAGTTCAGGTCAAGATATAATAGGAATACAGATTACCTGGTGTAGGCGAAGCAGCTAGATTCTGTTGATGAGGCGCTTCAATTATGGAACAGGCTGTGTCAACTAATGTGTGGAATTCTGATGGTTGGGCCATAGAGTCATGCATTGCACTATTAACCCCAGACAGGTTCACTGAATGTGGATGTCTGAAACATTATAATTACCAAAATCGTTACTAAAATTGTAATCAACACTATTGTATGAGGGTGCACCACGGTATAAAGTGTTGGTTATAAAGGGGCAAGAATGCTAAAGCCAGAGATCACCTGTTAATTTAATAAATTATATTATCATAAGTCTAAATGATACCTGTGGTGTTTTTTCCTTGGTATCTGCCTAGCTTCATTGGAATCGGAATCTGATAAGTATTCACCATCAGTGTCGATATCCATTTTTGTTGATGCTTCTTTAGTGCAGGATAAATCCTGGAAGAAATTAAGAATAAAGAATGTGACTGCAATATTAGATATTATACAAACAGGAATGCTAAGCTAGTTCAGCCACTTAAAATTTTTTGTTTCCTCTATATCCTCTAATAAATAAATCATGTTATTTTTTTTTTATTTATTTAAGAGCAGAAATTCAAAATGTTACACTTATGTTGTTAATGTTACATTACTTCAAATCAATTTTAACACAACTCGAATTAAACAATGAAGACATTTGAATGAATGAATGAAGACTTTATGTTATAAAAATAATCGAATATAATCATTGAATGAGAAAACAGCTAATTTCGTGTTGTGATCACTGTAAATCATCAACATTACCACCAACAAATTCGTGTAATGATTCTCATATAAACGCTCACAAAGCGTTTTTGCCATGACAAAAAAAAAGCGGGTAGTGAAATTCGTGTCGTGACAATCATCTTTTACGACCGCACGGTATCGTAAGCACTAGTTTATTCGTGTCGCGGTCTAAGCACTAGTTGGTACCTATAACCAACAACTCTGGACGACAACTGTTTTTTTCCCTTAAGCGTAACGTTACGTAACTAGAAAATTGCGAGTTTAAAGTATTCTAAAGATACCTGTGGTTCGTCTCTCGTCAGAGTGTGCGAATGTGTAGGCGGTGCAGAAGCGGGTCTAGCTGGTGGTGACCAGCCTCGATCAGTTCCACGTGTGGATAAGCCCAGACGCCGAGGAACAACTGTGATACATCAATTGTATTATAAAACTTTCTACTTTAATTATTGTAAAAAACAACAAAAGTAAGCTGGCATAATCATTCATATTTACATGCACTGCAGCAAGTTAAGACAACACTGACACATTCTAGGTGTCTTTATTTTATATTTTCTCTTGTTAATCTTGGTTTCATCGAAGGAGTTATAATAATAACTTCATCAATTCTTTCGAGTCGATTTTTTCTTTTTACCGAGCCAGTGAGGTTACCAGAGCCTAAAGCCCACCTCCCCTGGTTCTCAGGAGAGGACTCAAAGAGCGTCAACACTTGTGACTCTTGAGTTAATGGTGACCATGATCAGAGGTATAGCCCGTAAAATATATTTTGATACCGCTGACAGCTAGAAGCAAATCCGACAACATAACTTTAACCGACTGGCAATCTCGATTTTTCGCAATCAATAATATTCTACGAAAGGCTATTTTATTAATAAATACTACCTGGTTCTTGCCACTGCTGGACATAGGCCTCTTCTTAGAAAGGAGGTTTAGGCCTACTATATCATGCTGGCTTTTATTTTTGTTTAGATAAAAATTATTGATAAATTTACGATTACGCGCCTACAAGGTAATGTGAATGGTACAAAAATTTAGGGACGAGATGAATCGATTAGCTTAAATCTATCATTTGATTATTTTGACACAATAATCGATAACTAATTAATATGGTTTTGGTTTTTCTTTAACGTTGGTTTAAATCATATACTTACATGAACATAAAATAATGTTATGTAACAGCTTGATAATTTTATTTATCGGAATAATTCATACACTTAAACCACAAATACACATTCTTAGGTTGCTTCTACACGATGGAAGTAGCTTGCGCAGGGAACCCACACGCTCTGCGGTGCGCGCGGGCCACTTGCACGGGTTACTTGCGCAGGTTCAGACATGCGCAACTGTTCCGACTGACAGAAACCGGTTTCACGCAGCAGTTTTGCGTAAGTTATTTGCTTCGCGAAAAGGACTATGCAGGTCCAGCGACGACCATGTAACCCGCGCGAGAACCATGCACATTATTTCAACTAAACGTGCAAGTAACAAGTGCCTCCTACTACTAAACCTCGTTTTTGCCCACTACAGCTACTTGCACCGTGTAAAAGTCCCGTTTACACATTTTAAAGAAAATTATAAATATGAAATTATAAACATACAAAATAAGTTTGTTATTAGCTTGTGTCAATATTTAAACGCGAGAACCAAAGTGATGGATGTTGCCATCTTGTGTTTACACATAGCCATATGCCAGCTATGCCAAATACATCAGCTACCCTTCCGGCATAGAGCGAAGCATAATAGGGCAAAATATATCGACGAGTTTTCAACGGACGAAATAAAAAAGGTCGACGCTAAATAAAAATAAAAAAAATCGTCACCAGTTACTGGTATTGATGATTACCATGCAATGGCTGTAATACGAAATTACATGCACGCGTACTAGAGTTTCCAACTTTAAATGAGTCAGTGGTGTCCATCAAAGATGCATATATATCATTCAATTTAGTTTGTGATCGAGAACCTATTATTAATCTGCAGGATTGTTCCAGCAACGGCGACTGAAGAAGATGATTTGGATTACAACTTAATAAAAATAATCTTAAAATACTTATTTGTTTTTAATTATAAAACTATAAAAACAAAATATCATCAAATCGATTACAGTCGATACATTGATCGATTTAGCCAGTTATGTCATATCACTAGTCATTAGTGTGTGACATCTGTCAGCCGTATCAAAGCAAAATTTTACGAATTATAGTTACTTATCATCAGGTGACCTGTCTGCTCGTTTGCCGTCCTATACCATTATATTTCTTTTTCCTATGAAGCATTTTTAATGTTATCAAGCAGTTAAGTAAAATAAATGCTAGATTGAAAATATGTATAAAGTGTTCATATTTACGTGTAATGTTACCTTCTAGCGGGTTGTTGACACCGGGCGGCGCATCACCGGACGCGGGTACTGTGACGAGTTGACGCGGCATTCCGAATAGCTCTTCACGTCGAGCGTTCGGTTGAAGCAGTTGTGGCTGATCAGCAAGTGGTAAGGCGTCTTGCATTGTCACTAAACGTTGTGAAACAAATGATGAGGTCTTCGTTTTGATTACATTTACGCAGACCCTATAACTATGCCGCGTTACTAACTACTGTTAGTATTAGTCATTTAGTTAAATTAAAACAAATGGTAGAGATTTACCTATTTTACCCGGTTAACACATTAATTAACACATGCATACTGTTTTAAATAATAATGAGGAACGATAACGAAATATAAAATAGTTAACTATAGTCCATTCGGGTTAAGAAAATCGCATCGATCAAGCCCCGCACCCTGACCAATCAGGTTCCAAGCTATCGTACGAAAGGATAATTTCTTACTATTGCAACCGTATAACTGTGATAATTTTGTTTGTTTAAATTCTTAAAATATGTACGAACTGTTGAATGGATCAGGTGGTGGACATCCCAAACATAGTGTAGAATCGGATCGCTGGAAGAAGCCGTGGGCACGACCGCGAGAGCTATCCCCTTCGCTGTCTGACTCTGCAGCAGCAGCGCCACCCACTACCATCTCTTCGTCACCTTCTTCATTTTCGTTCTCATCCTAGTAAATTTAATAATATCTTAAAGACCATTCTTGGCAATGCCGATTTCTAATATCTACCAAGGAAATGGAATACATTTCCTTTAAAGATACATAGATATTTACGATTGAAATGAAAGTAACCTGTAGACAGCGACAAGCTAAGTTGTGATAGTTAGCAGAATGTCATTTTTTTTCATCATATATAATATAAAATACAAGAAATGAATTAATAAAGAAAAATACAGAGGGATGATTACGGTGTTTCATGTAGTAAACACCAAAACGAGTGTAATGGCGCTACTGAAAGAACCTAAAATGGCATTAACAAAAACCATTGATGCTTTCGCGTATTCAATTTTTAAGCTGACTTCAAGAACTTAAAGCTTACCTGTGTCCATAGATGTTGATGATGATGTGGCTGCGGCTGTGCCGCTCGCATGTAGTAAACTAATGCATCCAAAACGTAGGCCACATGCTTGAGCGCGGCCACGTCCAGCACTGGCAATTGTTCCGCATGCTCGGCACTATGAGCGCGCAGTAGAGAAAGACAATACGCCAAGAATTCGCGACGAGCACTGCCTGCTTCAACACCTAAAAGTAATTCCAATGTTATATATATAATACAGAAAAGAAAAAAAGAAGCAACAGTAAATTTTTGAAATCACAAATACTCTTTGAAACCAAACATGTAGGGTACAACTACCTTGTTCGCGGTCCCTTGCTCGAGGACCTTCAGAGAATCCGATAATCCTCGTGGCAGGTGACGTCAGTGACGCAGTACGGCGGGTGGTATTAGACCGACCTGTATCTGTACTGGAAGTGCTTGCGTTGTTTGAAGTCAAGGAGGCGCCAAATCTGTTAAAACAATTTGAAATAAGATAATTAAATTTTGGAGTGAAACTAAGAAAGGATTTTCGACCATTGCGGCAGCTAGCCATTGTTCTACAGTAATTTAAGACAACGCTAAGTACCTTAATTGAGCTTCTGTAGCGTCCATGACGGTAACCAGCCAATCCCAGGTCTGTTTTAGTTGTCTCTCAAGGTAGCACTGTAAACGTAGCGCGTCACGATACGCAAGCGGTACCATTCGAGGCGAAGGTAGAGCCACTCTTTCATACTCCCATAGGAGGTCGGCTATCTGACGTATGACTATGCCTACAAAAAAAACAATAAAACTAATATGTAATTGAGTCATCGTCGAATGAGTAATAGACATCCTGCAACATCGTCGAATATGAACAAGTTAACGAAGTAATAGGAGCGCACGGAGAACGTACCGAAGGCCCTAGCCAAACAGGAGGCCGTGGTGGCGGTGGAGTGCGGGTCGTGCGCGGCGGCGGAGCGGCGCAGCGAGGCGGGATCGATGAACACGAGCGACGAGCTGCCCGTGAGCCGCACGCCGCCCGCGCTGCTCGTGGCGCCGCGTGGCGCCTCACGAGACCTACTCCAGTGTGGAAAACGACTAACGTCATTATGTGTATATAGATACTGAAAAGAATGCTCAAGCCAGCCTTTTAATTTGAGATTGAGGTACATATTCACACAATATGTCCCATTATGTTCATGTGATCGCTAATCATAAAGATTTGTTTGAAAACAAATTGTTATCCAACATATTTAATTTGTCAATAAACTAACCGTATCGCCCACTGCATGGAATGTGGGGCCAAATTAGGTCTGGCGGGTGGTGCGGCTCTTCTCTCTAAAGTTTCGCCATCGTGTTGTGGTGGTTCGGGCTCGCCGTCTTGTTCGTCTGTCTCACCAGCTTCAGAGTCTTCGTCTTCTGGCTGGGTGGAATCACCGCTTTCGTCTTCTGGGTATAGAAGTAATGAGGCTATGCCTGTTGGGATGCAGGGGATTATTCAAAATATATGAGATATTTCACAGCATCACATCATGAACATCGAATAAGAAACATGAAAGATTAGATATAATTACTACAATAGATCGACTTTCCCCTAATAATACCCAATATACTAATGGCCTTTTTGTCGAATTAATGATTAAAGTTAAAGAAATCTAAATTTATGATTGAATAAAAATCGAAAACGGCATCGAATAAGAATCGAGCAAAATAGTTCAATATTGTTCGATATACCTGCATCAGATCCTTGTGTAGCACCGGTTTGTACACTACGTTGTGCCGATTCAGCATTATCCTGGTCATCTGAATCACTTTCAGTTTCTACTTCGGCAAGTAGATCAAGTTCACTTTCACTTTCTCCACCTTCTGCACGCTCGGTACCATTTTCTACAACTACGTGTTGTTCTTGTCCTCTATTAATACAAAGTTAAAATTAATGTAATAAGAGCGTAGCTAGCTTTTAACAATTTAAATTTAAGTTGTGATTTTTTAACACTGAAAAGCATGCTTATGACATATCGATGGAATAATATTTTCAGGTTGTTTACTCTTTTATTCAGTCGATCTTACAGGAAGAAATACTCTATTTCATAGAAATGTGGGGTAAATGAAAAGTTACAGTTGATAATAATATATATACAAATTTCAAATAATTAAAACAATTATATTAATTACCTGTCCGCCATGGTATCATCGTGATGTTGCGCGTCTTGTTGGGGTACAGGCGCGGGCGCGTTGGGCTCGTCGGTTTCCGACGCGTCATCGTCGGGGCCCAACGCCTCCCCAGCCACATCATCTGCATACTCGGTGGCCACCGGCGTGGACGAGCGGTCCGGCACGAGGGTCGAGCTGCCCATTGAGGTACCACCTGTCGCCGCGCCGCGGCCTCCACCAGCACTAGATTCTCTGATTATAAAAAAACAATATTATAAAACTGTTAAAGTAGAATTGCAGACCCCAAAGTGATTTAAATTTAAAAATAAAATTTAAATCTCGAGTTATAACATCGACTAAAAAACGAAATTGATTTTGAAACGAAATATGTACTATAAACAATTAATATATTTTATTATAGGTATCAATTTTATTATTAAACAGATCAATAATTGTAGAACAGTGTGCTAAGTAGTGCTGCAAATTATATTTTCATAGGTTTAAGCAGAAATACTTTAAGTATAAATACTTAAGTCAGTGGGTCTCTTTTCGTTTCTTATAGATATCTAATAAGGTATTAAGCATACAAAATACATACCTGCGCGTATGTGCGAGTCGGGCATGTCCAGTAGACAGTGGTTCCACTCCAAACAAATCTTCACTGCCATTCACAAGGTCCACATAAGTAGTCGCTAACGGGAACGGAGCCGTTGGACGAACAACGCCGAGTCTCACTGGAGCTAACAATGCGTCCGCCGCTTCGACTAACTCCTCTACAGCGAGGGCGACTAAAGCAGTGAACACGCGCCGACAACGTACCAACGATGACGTTATTGATAATGGACTAAAAAGATTTTATTATTATTAAATAATATAAATGAAAAAAATATGTTTGATAAACAGGTGTTTAATATTTGTACATTGATTTTTGAAATTTAGCTCAGCTATTCTGTATATAACGTGTGGGAATAGTTAAAAAGGCTTAAAGAACCACAAGAATTTATGATTTAGTATTTTGTTAAAAATGGTTTGCAGATATATAGACAGTAATTTTTATTACATATTTCTTTCTGGTGCTAATTCAAGAAACTAAGAACCATAAGATAAAACTAGGAAGGTAGACCATATCAGGCGCATCACAAATTTGCATCTTATTTTAAGAATTATCTCTTACAATCATAAATTAGGATATAGTACGCGCTAAATAACTCTGCGCCAACAAAGATAGCAAGTAGCGCCGCAAAACACAATTTTAGTTATCACACTTAGAGGGACGGGGGGAGGCACGTGGCCGCCGACGCGTTGCACCACTGCAACGTCAGTCGTGTATCTCGCTCTTATGCGTTAAGTAATTTCACTGCTATGCTTTAACAGTAGTTATGTGTATATGCTGTGTCCCCAGACGAACACCCACACTCAAACCAAAAAATTTTGGATCACACAAAGTGTAGTCGCATGTGGAGATCGGACCCACAGCACTCAGCGTAGTAGTAAGCGGCGTGTCGACCGCTTAAGCCACTACGCCATCCGTGCAGTTATGAACATATAGTTTCTGTTAATATTGTTATTTTTAATACTGTTTTGTTTGCGTTTGTTATTATTGAGTTACGCTTTATATGCGTTTCTCAAAATATCGAGACGAAACTACGTATTAAAAAGACAGGTCAGAAAAAGAGTTTTTAATCTATCCTAATTTTATAAAGATGAAGAGTTTATTTGGTTAAACGCGCTAATCTCAGGAACTACTGCTCCGATTAGAAAAAATCTTGATGTGCTAGATAACCCGTTGATCGAGGAAGGCTATATACCTTACAATACTATCACGCTACGACCAATAGGAGGATCAATGAAAAATATTGCAAAAACGGGGGCAAATTATTCCTCTTGAGAGCTTCCGTTGAGTGCGCTCCGTAAACGGTTTAATTTTCGCAAAAATCATGTCGGTCAGAATTGCCTTAAAAAGGTCCACGACAGCTTATGTCTATCTTTTAAGGTTGGCACACTATAACCTTTGGTTATCAAATTTGTTGTAAAATAATGCATTATTTGCAAAGGTGTTTTTATAAACATAATATCAATCCTTATGCAAATAAATACAATAATTATAAAATTGCCCTCGAGTAATATAGGCTACGTTTTATCGCGATAACAAACGTACATAAATATGATAAATTATTTTAGTTATTTGCCACCTTAAAAGACTTAATATTAAACATAATTCTAGAAGTGATTAGTTATAGATAGTGTGCTGATGTAACTAGTCCGGAGTGCCAAAAGCGTCATATGTATTTGTATTTTACTTGTTTGCCACTTTAGTATTTAAAACATTCACGTTAACCATCCGGAAATAGGTGTACATGAATTAAATAAATTATATTATTATTATTTTAAGTATACAATTTTAAATTAAATGAATAGAATTACATTACTACCTACTTAAATAGTATTTAAATGTATTTGTATGCGCATTTTGTTTGCGAGCATACCCGTGCAACATTCGGTTTGCAGCCAACTTCGTTGGCGCAGAGTTATTTGGTGCGTGTAACATACTTTTAGTATCGTTCAGTTAGCCAATCTTTTCTGAGAACGAAAAGAAATACTCTATTACTCCATAAACTACTCTATTAGGAGGAACATCACTTTCTTGAGTGTTAGTTGTGCAATTTCTTATACAAATTACAAAATCTTAAAAAAAAATGATAAACCAGCTTACCCTTTTTTCTTGGCAGCTCCCGGTGCCATTTCAACGCTAAATATCACAAATATCCTTGCTACGGAACGCACAAAACGCCGAGCAACTTCGCGTGCACGTTCGACACGGCCTGGGATCCTGTCATTTTGTTGCTCCCGGATCAAGGTGTGCAATAGAGTATCAAGCATCTGTGAAATAAAAAAATGCATTTTACAAAAGTACTTTTACCATATAGGTCAGCATGAATATTTACTAGAATAATTGAAACTAATATTAACTAACATTATTAATTTCAGATACATTATTGATTATGGCGATGTGTGCTAATACGACCTTAACGCAAATCTCCTCAATAAATACGACCACCTTCTGATCAATTGTTCAGAAAATTAATTTTAGAAGATTAAAAATTATTAATCTAAATTATTAATTTTTAATCTTCGTAAATAAATATGATCATGTTTCCTCTTATCCTTTGCTTCCTTGCTCTTTATACTATTGTCAACTCTACAAATTGCTCCCCCAAAATACTTGATATCCTCTTTCCAGTTCCTATGTTCCTATCATAACAGAACTCTTCGCTCTTCAAATAGTCTTCTTCTGATATGCCCCTTCCACACTTCTAGATGTGTTCATTCTCCGTTCCTCATTCAATCTGTCCTTCTCTGGAATGCTAATCTATGTTCAATCAGCACCAAGTCATCATCCGTTCAAGGCGAATGTACGAGCTCTACGTACACAAAATATAGCAAGATCATCACAAATTTAATCTTGTATATAAAATTCTCGTGTCACAATGTTCGTTCCCGTACTCCTCCGAAACGGCTTGACCGATTCTCATGAAATTTTGTGTGCACATCGGGTAGGTCTGAGAATCGGCCAACATCTATTTTTCATACCCCTAAATGGTAAGGGTGACCCATCCCTATTTTTTTTTTCGTTTTGCAATACAACGTTTGCCGGGTCAGCTAGTACTTTATATATTAGTGATAGAAGTATGAAATAGCTGATTTGTATTGAAAAAATGGAACTCGTTTTTTACGTCGTAACAACATATTTATTTAATCAAAATATTTACCCTCATTATCTATACATAGCTGCCATCTAAACGGAAGTTCATTTATGCCTTTACGATATAACACTCGGGATCTAGATTCGACAAACTGTGTGAAAGCATTTTGTACTGCCTCTTGGGAAGAACATTATTTATCACGTTGAAAATTGACCAAATCACGAAAAAATTGTAGTCCGTTGAAGCAAGGTCTGACGAGTACGGATGATGACGTATGGCTTCTAACTGCAGCTCCTGTAGAGTTACAACGGTTTCTCGTGCAGTTGAGATCTTGCGTTATCATGGAGCAATAATGGTGAAGATATTTTCACGAGTTGGGGCTGCTTCACTGCCCGTTTCGCCATCATTGTTTGCCCGTTTCGCCATCATTGTTCGAAGTTCGGCACAATAAAAATCTGCTGTTATTGCCTGACCAGACCGGAGCAAGCTATAGTGCATAATACCATGAGAAGACTACCAAACAGTTACCATTTACTTTTTATTGGTAAGCTTTGCTTTAAGGCACTTTTGCCTCGTTTGAGTTGGGGTCAGCCATTGTATTTTACGCTTACGGTTATAGTATACAAGCTACTTTTCGTCACATGTCACAATTCGATCCAATATTCCTTCATTTCTTTACCGCTGCAACAAGGCAACACAAGTTTCAATACGCATTTTCTTCTGCACATCAAATCATAAGGCACACAGGTTTTTCATATTTTTTTATCTTATTGATTTGATGCAAATGAGTCAATATTGTAGGTAGGGTAACGTTAAACTATGCCGCTAATTTCGGGGTAGTTTGACTAGGCTTCCACCCTCCCCTTCAATTCAGCGTTATTCACATGTATGGGCAGTCTTCTAAGTGGTTCGTTCTTGAAGTCGAAGTTTTCTTTACAAAAGCATTTAAACCAAAAATACACAGTGCGTTCATTAGCAGTCTCCTTTCCAGACAGTGTTGATATTGCGAGCCGTTTCTGTCGTGTTATCTCCGCGTCGTCGTCGTCTTATTCATAAAAGTATTAATCTGTCACGTCTAAGCTTAATTTAAAAATCAATTGAAATTCAAAAATCCAATGTTGCAAATTTTTTAAAAGAAGAACCTCATAGTTACCATGTAAAAAAAGTTTCACGGGAAAAACTCACGCCATAAAGGTTTTATGTCAATTCAAAGTATCTATTACTGTTTGTTTTCTTGTGTGTATACACAAGATATATATACAGACTGTGATGTATCTTTTAACGAAACTGTAAACCACATATTCTGCACTTTATTTCTAGACGATTTGCAAAATATGAACAAAAAATATTCAGTGGTTTAGAAACAGGACATTTTTTTTTGTTTTCGTAATCTGCAACATGTTTAAATGCAGTCATAATACATTGACCTCAGTTGCCGCTTTTACTACACTCGAATCGAACGAAATTAGTTGATTATTGCGTAATCAGGATGAAGGACACGCGTTTTTAATTAGTTCATCCAGTAAGTCCAGTCGGTCGGCCCTTGGCCATCGGCGAGTGTTATGCTGTTCTGTGTCCTTGTAGATGCGCTCACAAAAATTAGCGTAATAACAATATTGTTGTTGTTCTTGAGATATTTGTTTAGAAGAGTTTTGTTGTGTTAATAATTGTTTAGTCTTATTTCTTTCGTCATAATACACGGCAATGGTGTGAACAATTAATGTTATCGTGTGCGCAAGACTTCATGTTGTAACGAGTCCCGCTAATTTTATTTTCCAAACTTGTAAAAATGTTAATCTAAAACAATTAAATAATTTATATATTATTATTGCACACATACAGTATTTATACTTACTTCATTAGTACATTTAACAATAAGAGCATGTGTGAACTTGTCTAAAAGAGTGGTGCCAGACTGATGTGGTGCAGGACTTCCTGAACGATTTTCAGATTCTCCACCGCTGTTACTAGCACCACACATTACCGCGGCTTCCACAGCCGGCCAATCACCTACAGATCAGATTATTATTTATAATTTCAACAACCAAAACAAAAATTATATGACCATTAATAAAAATAAATCTCCATCAAAATATTTATCCATTATAATACAATTTGTAAGTGTTGAAAATGCCAATTTAGACATATTTTTTTTATATAATAGCAAAAGAGCATTTTCATCAATTACAGAGTAGTAAGTAGTAGCTGATGGCTTAAACCTAAGATTTAGATAATGTGTTAATAGATAAATAAAATTTGAGGCAATGTTGCCATTTGTAATTTAACCAGGTCGGTATATTTGTGGTTAGCTCAGCATGCATATTAAGTCTTAACAAACAACATCAAATCCCCGAAGTTAGGGCTGTACACATTTGTTTTACCTGAAGTATCTCTATAACAAAAATAAAAGTAATGAACAGTGATTAAATACCCAATAAATGCAAAAGTGCTCTTCTAGCGAATTTTGGCGGTTCCAGATCATGATCGGGCGCGTCCACTTCAGCGTCAGAACCAGGCTGTTTGCGGGGTCCGCGCCCTCGCCCACCGCCCGCGCGGAATTGACGCTGCTCTACGGCTTGTCGACCCACTGTCTGAACTAGGAATAGCAAGATGGACTCGCCCCTATAAAAACAACATATTGTTATAAGATGTCCGTGAGGTGACGGATTAATAATACGCAGTGTCACCACCCCTATTCATCCCAGGGGTAACGTAAGAAAGAGCCGACTAAGGGAGCAAACTACGCAAGTCAACAGCACTGCAAAGAGAAGGAAAACTTGAAAAAACCCTATACCAACCCGTCTGGTTACAGCCAGCGTGGTACAAGTAGGCCAAAACCTCCTTTTTAAGGAGAGGACTATGTCCAGCAATAGTCCATTGCTAAAGGCAATCACAGTATACAATTTAAATTTACCCAATTTGCATGGCTTGTGCCTTTGATCTTCTACTCTTAACATTTTATTTAGACCTATATTAGTGATCATCACATCACTGAGACTCAAGCTTTATGCATTCCACATTTGGTAAAAAAAATGTTTTTCTTTTCAAGTAGAAGAATAATAATATAATATAATATGAATGCAAACAATATGTACCTTGAATTAAAGTGCGTGGCTAATGTTGTGTCTCTGGCGAGCCTAGCGAGTAGGTCACATCGCGCAGTCCAGTTGCCACCAACTAATGCTTTACAGCGACATTTTTCCCAACAGTCGCAATATGCGGTTGGCGATGTACGTTTTAACTTACAATCGTGACCTTTGTGACATACCTAAAAATATAAAAATTAGTAAAAACAGGTTACAATTAAAAACTAAATTAGTAATTAATTACCTATTAAAGAAGACTGCAAAGTTATTAAGCACATAAGATACTGTCACAAACACATCTGTTTCTATCACTGAGCTATTAAACTTTTCCCCTATTTGAGGATTGGCAACTAGCAAGTTAAATATAATTTGCTAGTTGCCAATCCTATGCCTCTCCCATAAACTCCAAGACTTCTTCAACCGAAAGGAAAAGATCATGCTAGTCATACTGCTTATAACCAAATGAAAAAATAAATTACACACTCACCTTTGCACATTCAGTGCAGCAGCATAAAGATCCTGTCAGCCCACATGTTTTGCATTCAAATATATCCTAAAAACAATCAAAAACTCAATAACCTATTACTGTTTAGGAACTAGAAGCAAACTTAGATTTTTTTATATTCATTATTAACCATGAATTCACATTTAGATTCAGTTGAAAACCAGACTATTTAAATGATTGCATTCATATAATGTTCCAAATGGTATGTATAACATGATAAATTTGAAATAAAAATGTATACATATAAAATCACTTTAGATACAGCATTTTTTTTTATTAAATGTATTGTTTTTTTTATTGAATAAATGCACGCAGCATCGCCGTGGCACAATCGATTTTACAAACATACAACTAAGAGATTTTCATGAAATAACATTCATGGTATTTCGTAATCTCTACAAACAATTAGGGAAAATCATTTAAACCGTAACACACCTGGTTGATATGCTCTTGTCCTGTCCACGTAAAGCTGCAAGTGTCATTACAGCATAGTACAAGTAAAGGCGAATGGTCGGGGTGAGCATTAGGTGGGAATATAGCCGCTGCACGTTGAGCTTCATCGCCGTCGGGATGTGTGCAAGCGCGGATGGCGTCCAACAACACTAAGGCGGCGCGGTAGGCACGCTCGGCTACTGCTGCCATTAGCGGTGTCTGGCCCAGTCCATCTCTGCTCAAAATATATGAACCGTTATAGATGGTACTAAGTTGGAGGTAGTTTTGATGATGTTTGATAATAGATATTTCAACAAAGTATTTTGTGACATAAACTTACTTGGCAGTCAGTAACTGCATAAGATAAGGTAGCAGAGCCGGACTATCGCACAAGGCACGTAACGCCGCCAAAGCATTACCGCGACGTTCTGCAGGGTCAGCGCTCACTGCACCACTACCTCCATTACCACCGCCAGACATTTTACTGAAATAAATCATACGTTAGCAAAGGCACACTATGTCGAAAACTATTTATAAATTTATATTTGTTAACCTCACCCATTATTGGTGAGTCCCATTAAACTGTCTTCATCTCCTGATGCTTCGAAGGTTTCAGAAGGCCACGAGATCGCTGGTACAGGCTCTTCAGCGCCAGCACTATTGCCTCCCGTGCCACCCACTAAATTGTTAGTGTTTTCCACTGATCATAGACAGTTACATTAGAATTACAACTAGAGACAACTACTTTGATATTACACTTTTTTATATATAGTCCCCTTTTTTTTTAATGGTAACAGTATCTAAGCACAAATGTATTAAAATACAATGACTCACCAATATCAGGTTCTTTGTTAGATGTCGGCGCGCACATGTGCACGCAGGCATGTAGTATATTTCTGTTACCGTCACAACGTTCCTGAAGGATCGATAAGATCTGTTGTTCTGAAAACAAATATAGACAGATTATACTAGTCGTATATCGTCGTTTTTGTCTTAAATAATGCATCCACAAATTATAAAACCATCACTTACTGTTAGAATCAGATTCCAGTTGGTGCAGTAACTGACGTACGCCATCGAGGTCGCATCGCAGCACTCGCGGCATCATCAGTTGCGGTTCAGGTACCAATATAATTAGTGCGACCTGGACAAAATATACATATTTCATTAAAAACGCTGGTAACGTAGTACGTACGTACGTAGAAACAGACAGCTATTACTGATCACAACTTCAAAACGAATTGACCGATTTGAACAGTTCAAAAAATAATTTGCATTTACTTTTGTAGCGCATGCGAAGAAAACAAATATTTACATTTTTTATACCTGGCTTTCAAACTATCGTTATTTTTATAGGAATTGAATTATGTTATCAAAATAAAATATATCCCATGTTACTTGCAGATGATGTAGCGTTCTATAGGTGAAAGAGAAAAACCGGCCCAGTAGTTTCGAAGCCTATCCATCACAAACCAAAAAATCAAATCTTTCCTCTATAATATTTGTATTTCATATCTATTTTTCAATTTTTTCAATTTTTCTGATTTTCCAACTTTATATCACATCTTAATCGTCGCAGCGAGCGCGTTCATGAGTGTAAATGAGTTTTTTTTTTCTTTAGTATTCATAATCAGGTCCACCATCTGGTGACGGCTTATCGTTGGATTTTGGGACACCTGTATAAAGAACTGTGACAGTAAAGGTTTGTTCTTCGAACGATGACGTCACACAAGACGACGACGAGATTCGTGTGGCAGTGACGCGGTGCTCGGACGACGACTGCCACACGAATGAAAGTTGTATATTTACAAGCCCACGCACACATAGGGCCGCGCGCACAACTGAGTTGAACTATCTATATCACCACTATACTAATACATATAAAAAGTCAGACTCGATAATCTAGTAGGAATTTGCTGCAACTACTCCAATAATATTCTATATCAAGAGAGGTATAGTATATCATTTCTGGGTAAAATAAGTGCTTATGTTCTTTTCTGTACATCCTTTAAATGACTGCAAATTTCATAACGATCTGTCGAGCAATTATGAGTTTAAATTCTAAACTTTAGAATAAAAAGGAAAACTAACTTACGTACATATTTATGCAAATAAGTGAGAAAGTTAGCGTATCACGATACCTGTGACTTGAGCGCGGTGTGGTGCGGGTGCTGCGCGGCGGCGGCGGCGGCGTGTGGGTGCAGCGGCAGCGCGTGCGCCGTGAGCGCGCGCGCCGGCGGCAGGTTGAGCGGCGGCGGCGCGCGCACCATGCCCACGCAGTCGCGCGACACCGGGTACAGGGCGCCGTTGCCGTCCACCATTATCACAACCGGCTCGCTACCCTGAACACCGCCATACTTTTATTTATAAGCTACCCACCTCATAAAACAGAATCATACTTTTATGGGAAAGATCCCTCTTCGTTTCATCTAAGAGATTAAATTTTTTATTTTAATCTTTGAAATATGTAATTGTAAATATAGAATATAAATAGAAAAACTAGCTTTAAGAAAAGTAGAATTAAATTCGATGATAAAACTGAAAACGAGAAATCATTAGTATTCGTAACGAGTATTAATAAATATAACTTTTAGGAACGAATGAATCGAAAGAAAACCCAATATGGAAGAGAAAAATTCACGTAATAGTTGAGTACCTACACCATACATGAGCCCTACACATAGGGGGGGAGCATTTAGGGCAACCCATCAGATTCGTTAAAAAAAAGGATGGCCCGAAATACTCGAAAGTGTAAGATTATTTCAATTCCAGAAATATTCTCTAAATGTCAACATAATTTTTCGTGCCATTATTTGTCACATTTTATAAAAATATAAAATACTTTTAATCGTCAGATTTAAAATACTCTGCAATATAATTGTCAGATTTTTGGCTAGTATGAGAGGAACATGAAGCTGAACAGTCTATATAAAATCGACACGCTCGGGTATTTCGAAATGGCGATTTTTCGAATTCGCAGTTTGCATTTTCGATAATTCGCTACGAGCTTGTGTCACTTTAAAATCGTCAACCTTTCAATGGCAGCATTTCAGGCGTCCAAATAACATTTCGATTGCCTCCCCTTACATTTTTGAAAACCTGTAGAAGCTTTTCCCACTGCTGAAAGTGGATACATTTTATAACTTTTATTCATTCTATTACCTAATCTTATGACCTGGGCTCTTATGACGCTCGAGTTAATCCACATTTAGCATCATGGGCTCCCCTGCTATAACGAACTAATAGCACGATCAAATTTGATTTTGTTTCGATATTAGACTTGTGTATGTAATAATTTATAATCAATCAACCTACCTCAGCCGCCGTAGCCAATTGTATTGCTGCACCGTTAGAATATCCAAGTAAAGCGTTATTGTCAGTAGGGAAAATGCTGTCAGTGAGCGCACGAGTAGTCCCCACAGCGTACACGGCGTAGGCGAGCGCACCGCCCGGTCGACGCACTACAGCGTGCACGCCTCGGCTGTCCACCTACCGCAATTTACAAAAAATAAATTATTAACTATAACATTAAACAAAAATTTAATTAAACAGGCTATTACTTAACGTACAAAGAGCTACCCGTGCGCGATAAGTTGAGGCCTTTTTTTTTACCTGAGGAAACCCCCTCGGGCCGTCACCCCACCGGGGCTTGCGGCGGGGTAGTGTGTCGGAATCGGACCGACTAAAACCACACGGTGTGCCATTCTGCGCCTGTAATAGGAGGGATCCGAGAACTGCTGTTCGCCGCCTCCTTCTGCGAGATGACGTCCCACCGAAATCCCACGGGATAGTACCTGCCAATGCGCACAAAGTCGCCCTAGGGCAGACGCAGCGCCGACTAGCTTTGGAGAAAGCTGGCGGAAGTGCTCGTCGAAATGCCACCTCCTGCCGAGGATCAGACCTAGATCCTTCATCTGGGCCTGAACCAGTACGAGGATCGATTTGACTACCATTGAGGCGCCAGGGGGTGGACCACGACGGGGCCCATGGAATAAGAAGGCGCCGCCTCTTGGAAGTTCGCCCCCCGGGCTGTGACTAGTGTCGTCAGCGTAACTGATTACGCCGAGCCCGGGGGCCAAGCGACATCTAAGGGCCCCGTCGTACCCTATGTTCAACAGGAGTGGTACGAGAACAGACCCCTGCCATGTCGGTCCTCGTACATGACGGTACAACGCTCCGATAATTAGCTCCAGTACTCTGGCACCCCATGGCAATGGAGTGGTCCTGAGGCGCAACAGAGAACGATGGTCGAACGCCCCGCTCGAAAATCGAATAGGCTAGTTGACTCAATGTGAAAACTTTGTTAATTATATACTTTAATATCTATTTTATCCCAAAAAACCTATATTTTAAAGAAAAAGCAATATTTACATTACGTATTTTGTATTTAAAAACAATTTAAATCCCTTGAAAACGCTTTATAGTGGCATGGCGTCTTGAATGACGTCACAGTCTGCGAAACAAAACTGTTTACATCTGTGTCCAGTGTCAACTGAAACTTTATTGAGTGAGAAAATATGCTAAAAACGAAAAATAATAAGGAGGAACCTGCTCTGTTGTATGAAAACGTCAACAATTATGTTTGCGTGGCGTGACGTAACAGTTTCTGATTGGTGTTGGCTGTCACGTGACTTAATGCCTATTTTAATAATAATAATCTTTAACTTTTATGAGAAATAGACTGTTTTTTTTATCTATGTCTCTTTATTTATAATTTGAAACTATAAACCAAGCAATTTGTTACTAGTGGACACAAGCCTATTGGGCGTTCGCCAGGTCACGATGAGAACCTCCAGCATCTCCTTTCTTTTTACTTCTTTGGCGCGGCTAATGGCCAGCTCCAGAGTTTTCCGCGCCTCTCGGTACTCCTCATGAAGCTGGCTCTCTGACAATATCACAGACAAACATACACAAAATATGTAAATACTTGATTTACTCACAGCAATCGTGATAACTTGTACATCTGTTGGCAATGCAATTTTCCTGGGTGCACGTTGCAAGCAATCAGGACCACGAGGACTCACGGCTCCTCCAACGCCCCACTTCACTGATACTAAATCATCTTTCCGCACAAGCCTACAATCTTGTAGCAGGCTTGATAAATCGTCGGGTGCCAAAGGGACCGCTTCCTTAACATCTTTGGCGACAGTAGGGAATCGTACCGCAGCATATGCACCGTCTACCTTAAGCACTCGACCTAGTGGCACACTTTTCACATCCTCCAGGAATACTACTTCCTTAAGGGGCCATTCCTCCTCATCGCGTTTAGACCCGTCATTAGAAGATCCTTCCTCTCCACGCACCGTCACACGTTTGGGTCGTTCTAGAAACCAAAAATGACATTTAGCTTAACTACAACTTTAAAACTCAATTTTCAATAGTGAATTTTGTTTTTCTTTCTTAGTAACTAGACAAACAGACACAAAACCAGCCTGACATGGCAACCTTTATTTACTCAGAACAGAATTAGTTGACTGATGGACCTTCTAGTGATTCCTCTTATCTGTAGAGTGTAAGCTGTGCAAGCAGACCAGTAAAAAGATTATGTTAAAAAAGGATGCATACATATGAAAAATGATTCAATAATGTTTTTAATACCCTCTTTTATATATTATCAACCCAACTCTCTTTTATATATTTTTGATAATTGAGTGTGAATTCTTGCAACCCATCTCGAGGCCTGACAACAACTACTATTAGCGACGGCTTTTGATCTTGCGAGTCTTTACTCTGCTTTAACTTGCTCTCAATTAAAAAGTTTATACAAAAAAAAAAACTATGCTGTGGGAAACAGCAAGTGTCTTTGAGTAAGCAGGGCAAGTAAAATAGTGTAGGCACGGTACTCACTGTGAGAAGTGCTAGTATCACTGCATGTAGACGAAGCTGGGCTAGGAGGCGGCGGCATGTCTAGTCGGTCCGCCATGTCTTTGTTGCTGTCCTTAGCTCCATCTTTGCTATTTCCACTTGAAGATGAAGCTTTTACTGATGACACAGTAAGTGGAGATTGATTCTGAAATAATTATTAAAAATAAAAAGTATTTAATTATTATAAAACTTGGAATTTCATACAAACAAAATATTACTTTTTTAAAAAGGGACTCATATCGACAACGGATACCTATTGAACCTGAAATTAAACTCCGACAAACATTTCGCTACCGAAAGAGTCGCGATTATTTTATGAGACGTTCAACGACAGAACCTTTCATATACAAACGTTTTACCGACAGAATGTTTCGTTTATGAATTGTTCAACGGCAGAACCTTTCAAATACGAATGGTTTGCCGACAAAACGTTTTATATAAGACCTAATCACAACAGAACCTTTCCGCTTCGAACGTTTCGAAGACAGAACGATTCATTAATGAGTGAATCGAAGATAGAAGAAAATTAAATTCCATAATCATACCTATTATATACAATAATAGATTGTGTACATATGTACGATTTTTAATGATAAGTACGGTAAGAGTCCGAACATATAATAATAATAATAATAAAGCCTTTATTTCCGAAATAATTTCATGTTACATATTTTCGTGTCTTAGTAAAAAAAATTGAAATAAAAGTATTTAAAAAGAGTTTATAAAAGAAAGTAAAACTTATAAACTAAAACTACACTTTCATTATAAGATGTCTCTTGGTTCGGTTTGCCTTACGGCAAAGGCCTCCTCCAAGTCTCTCCATTGCATTCTGTCTGCCGCTACTCTCATCCAAAGTGGTCCTAAGGTCATTTTTAGGTCATCCTCCCATCTTATTGCTTTACGACCTCGGCTCCTAGTGCCATCCCTTGGGTACCAGACTGTCACCTGTTTGCTCCACTTTTCCTTCTTGCAGCGGAGCATATGTCCAGTCCATCTCCATTTGAGTTGATCAATACGTGATAGTATGTCAGTTAGTTTTGTTTGGCGCCTGATGTCTTTGCTTGTAACTTTGTCTATTAGTTTCAAACCTAGCATACTTCTTTCCATGCTTCTCTGACATCTTGCTAATTTGTCCCTATTCGTCCCTATATATCCCTATATTTGTCAAAGCCCAGGTTTCACAGCCGTATGTAATGCATGGTAGGATACAGGTGTCAAAAGTCTTCTTCTTGATCTTCATGCCCAGTTCTTTGCTTTTCATGATTTCTTTCAATGCCCAATACTTTTTCCACCCAGTCGCAATTCTTTTGTCTATTTCTTTGGATATTTGGTCTGTTATCGATATTATTATTATTTATTACATATAATAAATAATACCTAAATATATTACCTAATTACAAACGATAGTGAGAAGTTGATAATTTTTTTTCATAATATATTATCCATGTTGTAGTGCTGCAGACATTATGACATACATTGCAATAGTATCAATATACAGCTAAAAACTTCCTTACGAAATTATATTTTCCCCTATTGCTAAATTCGGATATAGGTAATACCTGTAAATCCCTTTTGTCCTTGTCAGAGACCGAACGGTCAGGCTGCGGCGGCGGCAGCAACTTAAATCGGCACATGTCCGAGAGATTCCATGCGGCATTTTGTAGGATGCCCACTTTCGGAACTCCAGTAGACATGTTAAATCCTGGTTGAAGAACAAAATGTGTAAATGATAAAAAAATGTTAGCTGAAATTAACTTATTACGCAGACACAATGTGTGAGATAAAACTTATAAATAGTGATATATATAATCATCATAAAATGACATTATAATGTCTTACCGACAGCTCCAGGTTGATACATAGGCGCATTTTTCATAGTAACGCTTTGTCCAGCTTGTAAGTCCTGTGGGGCAGTTGATGCATGTCCGCGCTGTTGTTTACGAGATCGTGCACGGTGTTTTTCCCAAAGCCGAGCTCGTTGACCCAATGGAAGTACACCCCTAAAATCGCAAAAATCATTGATAAGCTAGAAATCAATAAAAAATGGAGTGCTTACTTGATAAAAACTATGTGTATTTATTAAAGATTCATAGATGGCAGAGAAGAAAGTGTAACGCAGAATTTACATTCTTACATAGATATATGTGTGTATAGGCACCAAAAACCCACTTACCATGAATGTGCTTGTCTGGCATAATAATGGTAAAAAAGTTACAAAGTTACAAAGTTTAGTTAAGTGTCTTATAGTGAAGTGTGTCGGAAGGCAAGCAAGCAAATAGCAAAATGCATGATTTAACAATATATTAGCCAGTAACACTGTAAGAAATGTACCTACAAGGTGTTTTACGACCGAATTTAATGATAATTCACTGAATCGTTTTTAACTTAGAATAAAAAACTTAAAATTTACTTACCACCAATATAATAAACCAGAATCCAACCTAGCAACAGTGTACAGTGAGCACACATGAAGTGAAATTGCTTTATCAGATCCAAATTCCATAAAAGTTTGTAGAGGATGTTCTAAACGAGATGCCCCTGGAGCGTGTGCTATAAGTATATAAACATAACATTAAACTACTACAAGATTAATGTTTTAACATATAATCCAAATTTTTTACATTAATATGCATACTGTAATTTCATATGTTTAATCCCTGTAATAATAAAAAGGGTTTTGTAAGAAAAAATTGAACCTCCCCATTTATTTTCAAGCAATTTAAAGGCTACTTTTGCATTTGTTGTTTAGAGATAAATATATGGAATCCCTGATAACATAATGTTCTTTCTGTTTGAGAATGCCTGTTTCTTATTTTTGTGTTAACTATGACTTTTATTACCAACGAAATATGCTTTGATTATGTTATAATGCAAAATTATTCTTGTACCAATGTTAAATTTACCTATAGATTCATCAAGGAATGTCGCAATCCTGCCAGCATCACTGAGCACGGATATGCGTATTCCGGCTGCGCTTATGTTGACTATTCGTTCATTGGGCAACGTAGCCAACCAAGTAGAACGCGGGTGAAACGCGCTTGACGATCCTGATGCCTGTTAGAAAAAAAAATTGCAGCTTTACAACATATTATATACATATATAGGTACCTGATGAAAGAGAAAATCTACTTAGAATAGTTAAATAAGCATTTTTGTTTTCTATCCTTTTATTTAAATTTTATTTTTAATTATTTTAATAATCTATTAAAGTCACAACCATATATTTCATTTGTATACATAAAAATGTTGTTGGTTTGTGTATGCTTCAAAAACTCAAAAAATTCTGCGCCGATTCCGCTCCAAAAATTTGTTAGTCATTTCTCATCAATGCAACCACAATATGCCACAGCTTGGAAGGATATAACTAGTACATATATTATAAAAATATAATTTTGTTATAATATTAATCATTGTGAATTCATACTACAACAAAAAAAGTTTTTGTTTGCTATAATGTTAACTATGGCCACTATTTAAGGTTATGCTGTAAGACACTTAAGAGCGGCGAGCTAATAATGACATCAATTGGCCTTTCTTTAGGCTTCTTTGGCTTTTTTATAGTATTAGTAATAAAAAAAAATATGATGCCAAAAGCAGTAGGATCAGACTGTTTGTTTCATTCATGTCATTACCAAAATATGGGTACAAAAATTCCACTTACATCACGCTGATAAGGATGTGCATCTGCCCAGCGCCATTGATGTAGCTGGCCATGAGTCGATATCGCAACGAGTTCACTATATGTAGCAGCAATATGCGTGAAACGAATGTTACTGTCCCAGTACTCCAATTCCTCAGACACCCACAATGGGGATGCTGTCATTGACGAATCCTTTTTCTTGCTTTCAGCTACGAAATGTTCATAACAAATAAATACTCTACATACATACATATTTTAGTGACAAGAGTTTCATTTTAGTTTTAGAGTTAACACTTTAGCATTTCTAAGGCGTATCTAACTCAGTTTTATAAAAAAATATAGCTATAAATAACATGTATGAATACGTAAAGGTATTCTACCACAATACGATAGAGCAGTTGTACAGCCATAAAAATTAAATGCCATAAAAAGTATATATAAAAATGTTTATATAAAAATGACAATATATTTACCTCCGTCATTATTACCTCCATCCTTATCCCAGGATGTGTCACGAAGCGCAGACTCGAGCCACCTGCGTGGCCCAAAATATTGGCGTTCGCGCCATCGACTGAACTCTGAAGGACGCTCCTGAGTAGAGCTGCTGCTTTCGCGACTTGCGCCTCCTCGTCCGCCACTACTGCCACCGCCGCCACCACTGCGACTATTTCAACAAAATATTATAATCGATGCTATTGCATGGGGATGATTCCCATTACAATGGGTTTATATAAAGCAGAGTAAAATATAATTATGATATAGGTACCCTTTTTGTAATGAGAATCATTATGTACCTCAAGCTTACAACCACTTCTACACTGTACAAAGACACATACATATAACATTACAGGATATAGTGGACTACATGCTAACTTTCTACAAAGTGAAATGTTAAAGAAAATAAAAAAAAAAGACACCCAATCACAACATAAACGGAAACTGCGTAAGCTTGTCAGCGTGGTAAAGATTGGGTTGATGACTATACTACTAATATACAGGCAAGGAAGTAGAGGCAGAGGAGCGTAGCCACAGGTATACCTTCTGATAGCCGCGTACCCGAAGATGTCCTCAGAAAACATGGTGTCCGCGTCAATGATCACTGAATGATCTTGTTGCGCGGCGTGGAAGCCTCCATCCAGTAGCGAAATGAGGTCCTCAGGCACATAGCCATCGCCGCCCTCTCCACCTTCCGGCTCCTCGCCTTCCTCGTCATCACGGGACAGCAAATTGTTTACGGCCAGATTCACGTCTAAGTTTGTTCGCTAAACGTGAAATAAGATCATCAACGTTACACAGTTCTTTTATTCTGAAATAATAATAAATATAAACAAACTAAGAAACTATTTTTCTATTGAGATGTACATACTTGTAGTTCTCTAATTATGAGGCTTCTGCTTTTCCCCTGAAGTACCACTTGAGCTTGTGTGACCAGATCTTCCGGTACAAATGGTGCTGGGACTGAAACCACGCGCCCTGAACCAGACGCTCCAATAATAACACCTGTCGCACGGCTTGTTGAACCTGCGCATAATAAAAGTAGCTTAGCATAATTACGATAATTTTTCTTCTTAAATATTATTATTAAACAAAATTAAGGATCACTGTTACCCTGTGAGCTAGGTGTAGCCCGGATCGAGTTTCGCATAATACGTGCTCTAGTGCGCGGTTGCTGTCGAGAGCCGCAGCCTCCGCCACTACCCCCTTGCTTGCCTCCACTTGTGCCACCTCCACCACTCCCACCTCCTCCGTTCCCATTATTCTTACTAGCGTCATTTTTACTCAGGTCTAATCTGTCAGGAATAATGGAAAAAGCAGCCCGACATATTGTGCCATCTTCTAGTAGACAAGCTATGTGCGCTGGCCCTGCGGCTACAGCGCGCACACCGCGTAGTGAACTAAGCGCTGAAGATCCAGCGCCAGTCCCGTATCTATTCCAACGATCAGCAACTTCTTTAAGTCTGTAATAAAAAAACAGGCTTTTAGAGTTTCTTAAGGGTAATTTGCCTCCTGCGAGCAGGTTATGCTTGCGAAGGAGATGGCGGAGCGAGACCGGGAGAGGTTTAGAATCCTCCTGGCTCGCCAGGCCTGAGAAAGGGGCAGGCACCACAGACGGCTCGGGCGACGGAGGTCGCAGAGCGACCTCCGTCCTCCATAATCGCAGGCCTAAGGGTGACAGTTGAGGCCATCTGCCACTCTAGCAGAAGCAGGCCGGGGTGGGTAATGGCGCGACGCGATACGGAGCGCGCACGCCCTTAGGGGCAGGAAGGGAACATCCGGGTTCCCACACGGGAGGGGTCATCTATAAGCCGTAGATGGTTCGAGGTACGTCGGGGTACCAGGGCTTTCCTTTCTAGGGTATACCTGGTTCCCCGGCTACGTGTACCTGGAGACGGCGTGCGGATTTTGGCACTTCCTCACAGGAAAAAAAAAAGTGGTAATTTGCCTTAAATTACAAAGTAAATCATAAGCAAAATAATAATGAGAACATCCTTGGTAAATTTGACTAGGGCTCAAGAAGTTAAAAGTTCTGCATGTGATTTAGACTATAGTTGGATTCTTTAGTTCTCTGAGACTGCCTAAAACATTTACGTTCATTAATTTTCATTTTCGTGTTTAGACATGTCTGAATTGGAAAATGAAAATTATGGAACATAACAAAAATCAACAGTAACAAAAAAAGAGCAATCGCCGCAGCAGCAACTACATTTTTTTTTTTTATCAATGTATTGAAAAGAAAAAGAAGATACAAACTGATTTGTATTTAAATTTTAAGCTAAAAAAAGCTAACCTTTGATATTGAAACTTATAAAAGAAATCTTATAAATGTAGATATAGACTTTTCGCTTGAGGATTTCAAATACTTATTTCTCATGATATATTGTAATAAGCAAGTTGAAATAGTGGTAGGAACTAAGTTATCTAGTTAGGGTAAATATGAGAACTAGATGTTCTCATTTGATTGAGTTATTCAATTATATTTTTTTTTATCAGATGGTTAATATTTTACATGATACAAATACTGCACCACACAAAGGTGGCTGATAATTGTGAATCCTATAACAATAGCACAAAGTTCTTAGAAATCTCAATTTATATAAAAATATAAACTGAGTTTTCTTAGAACATTTCTGTGACATGTAGTTAAAAGCATTATATTTTTATTAAAAAGAAAGGGTAATTTGCCTAAAACATAAATCATAAGCAAAATAATAACGAGAACATCCTTATTAAATTTGACTAAGGCTCAAGAAGTTAAAATTTCTGCATGTGATTTAAACTATAGCTGGATTCTTTAGTTCTCTGAGAATTCCTAAAACATTTATGTTCCATAATTTTCATTTTTCTATTTAGACATGTCTGAATAGGAAAATGAAAATTATGGAACGTAAACAAAAATCAACAGTAACAAAAAATAAGAACAATCACAACAGTTACAAAAAATAAGAACAATCACAACAGCAACTACAATATTTTTTTTGACATTGATCAAGTTTTTAAATTAATTTTTTTTAAGTAATTGAGAAACAAATAAACCAAACACTATTTCAGTCAATTTTGTTTCTTAAAAGCAAATATTTAATAGAAAGAAATAAAAACAAAATAGCAGTTATGTGAATTTGTTGCATGAAATAAGAAACACATTTAGAATGTCATCAACATTCAATTGTGTTCAATTAATTGTTATTCAAGGTAGTTTTTTTTATTTGATATTTAATTCTTCTGCAGGTTTCATCTATCAGTCTTGTAATAGGAAATATGTTAAAAATCTCACGACTACTCACCTCCCTAGACATTGGTAGCACAAGTTGACACTAATTATTCTAGAATGTACTGTCATTCAAAAAACTTGATATGCAAAGAAAAATTTATGAGCATCATGACTCACTCTGACTTGTTAGATAAGACTTGTATCAAGTTTGTAAAACTATAAATCTTGTGTTTTTTTTAAATGCAATTGGTTCCTGTTCCACAAAATAAAAATATTGCATAGAATTATGAATTGAACGAAAAACAAACATAACCTACAAAAACAAACACTAAAGAATGTGTGTGTGTGTGTGTGTATATGTGTAAAGTTTGGCATACTTTAAGTATGTATGTTATCCAATTGTAACTATGTAGTTATTAATTTTGGATAATAAAAGGTACATACCTGTTATAATTAGCTGATTAAATATATTTATTAAACTCTTGAATTATCCACAAGAGTTAATATCTAAAAAATTTACATTTTCATTGTAAAAATCTTTTGACAGACACCTTTTAAAATAAGGTTTCAATCATTGTATAATGTAAAATGTAACTTACTCATGTTCACCAATTTTGTTAACTTTAGATAACATGTCCTACAATTAATTAAACAAGATTAAGATTAAAGGAAGTTACCAGACTCCCTTGAGACTGCTCAACAGCTACGATACTATTTAAAAAATTAAAAAAAAAACACTGGTTTTCATATCAACAGTGACAAAAATTCGTTCCCTAACCATCACACAGAAATAACAATCATTGTTTTACTTTAATAGTGGAAATTATTCACTTTTATCTTTCTGGTTTAAATATCGCTTCTAGAAGTCTACAAATGCACAAGGAGACTTCTGTGCGTCTAGAAGGAGCTAGGCTAGCTCACATAACCAACCTCATCCTCACATATTATACCACCGACCGCTTCTGAGTACTGTGATAATTTGCATGAGTTGAATTTGTGTTTTGCATTTGATAAACAAACTATCTTATCTTGCTATAATCAATGGTATACCAAATTAACCTCTCTAAATATGTTCATAGCAAATCTCATTGTAACAAATATCTTCTAATTCTTTCAGTTTTCTTATACCAGGGTTTTGTTGAAATAGATTTTTTTATGAAACAATAATTAGACAGAAGAACCGAGGAACCTTAATAATAATTACAGGATAAATAGTGTATTTATATTTTTAATTCTACTGTAATGGATTTATAATCCATTTATTGTTGTTTTACTGGTTTTTGTTGATGATTATTTTGCATTTAATTAATTGCAACATTTAAGCTAAAGATTAACTTGTGCAAGGATTTAGGTATAGTAGGCCAAAACCTCCTTTCTAAGGAGAGGCTTATGTCCAGCAGTGGACTATTAAAGGCTGTTGATTGATTGAAGGATTTACATCAAAATGAATTTGTAGAGAAATTATGTCATAATTCAAAATTTTATCATTCCAGAATCACATTTTGAAGCAAACAAGATTACGCCATTCGACCTATATCATAACATTTTACAGTACAGATGTCAAGCGAACACCTTTAATGTACCCTACAAAGGAACGTCAAGCGCTGGATTTTCTCCCTTGAACGTAAAACGATACGGAAAACGTGGCCCTTGAAGCTATATCATCATTTTAAGTGAATCAAAAAACTCGTTTGATCATAAAATGACGGATTTCACAGTAAGAACGAAATGGAGTCAAGTAAAACGATCGAATATGTTTACCTGTCTATTAATTGATCCTCTGTCCCAGGCAAAGGATGAACCACAAAATGCATCGAAGACATTTTTGAATGCCTTATCCTGTGCTAAGAAATATTTCAAAGAGCACACTGAAACATTTGATAAAAATCCATCACTATACTGCAAGAACAAAAGAACACTATTTAGAATCCTCTTCCAACCACCATATTTCTCGTGGTTTCTTTCGTGTTCGTTTCTCGTTCTCAAATACATGTGAGTCGGTACATGACGAAAAAAGAAAGAAAATATCAACATGGCTTCTCCGCCGAAAATGTTGGTAGCCCTGTCATAATTAAAGTTGTAGAGGTGTCAATTCCAATTTTCTGAAACTTGCAGGTGTAGTGGCGTATTACTTAAATTTTACTGTTTTTTTAAGAAAAACCGTTTGATAATTGACGACAACGGTGATCACAGTGGAAGCCATATGGCTTTGTCGTCATGAGGTCACTTGGCTGAGTAAGCGAACGCAATCAGTTGACAATTGACTCTTTTTAGTTTTCATAGCTGTATGTCGTAATAACATTAGGCTTCCATTTCTTGGTGTTAAAAAAGAAATTGATAAAACTGAAAGATTTGAATTGAATTTTAAAATTTATTAACATAATTTTATGAATTTAAACTAACATTTTACATTACAATAATATTAATCTGAAATATAATACATTCGGGATGTCAGTGGGTACACCGGGAATACTTTAGTTCAATTGTGTCAGTTTACTAACGTGTTTTATTCATTTTTTTCAAAGAAAGTATTAGTTCTTAAATGCTGTTATAATCATGATAGAAAAATAAGTAATTAAAAACTTACACAATTTGAAGATAAAATACTTAATTACTTTTTTACTTAAATTCTACTTTCAATAAAGTAATATTTGAATAATACGAAGTAGGTATGTAAAATGTAATTTGAAAAAGTATAAATTGATAAATAATACAAATTATAAAGTTTAAGGTAGGTTTCACAAATATTCACGGTTGACCTTGCATTACAGCATTACAGGACGTTTGACTGAGTACTGCGCGCTCACCGCCCTCTATCACAAAAACGGTTTAGCGCATGAAAAAATGTTTATATAAATTTTGAAACAAATTTTATGTCCTACAATTCAAAAATGATAAAAACATGATTCGAGCAATAGAAACCGAGAAAAACTGTTTTTTATTGACCTTGAATACCTTACGACGCAGACACGAGATTTTATGAGGCTATTGAGTTAACCCTTAGAACGTCAAAATGAAGGTATACTTTTACAAAAAATCAACTTCTTATCTCTCATTTCGAGGTTGATCCCTTTTTTATGCTAAAGTGACTGTATCACACATTGTTTTACAATATAACAACACAAAAAAGTCTAGATTTCATACAATTCAAAAAAACACTGCGGCATGAGCCTCGTCGTGAATGTGAAATGTTCAAAAATTTTAGATTTAATTTTCTGATACACATTTATTAAAATTTTAATTAAATTATACAGTATGGTCCACAGTATGGCCATACAGTATGGCCAAAACCTCCTTTCTAAGGAGAGGCCTATGTCCAGCAGTGGACTGTTAAAGGCTGTTGATGAATTAAATTATACACGACACTAGGTGTGACAATTCTCAGAATCTTTTTTCCGTTCAACAGTTATCTAGTGTCCGACCAAAACTAGTATTTATGGGTGACACCGAAACTGAGTTTCGGTATCAGTTTCGGCTGAAACCGAAGCTTTCAAACGAGGTCATGTTTTTATAAGAAAAAAGACATCATAATAAATAGTCGTAATAAGAATAACGTAATAAGTAATAAAAAATTTTTTACACAGTGTCAGTTTTTTGTACAAAGTATCAAGTGGTTGTTAATTGCAAACATTTTTTGTTGAATGAAATAAATAAACCAGCGAATGACATGTGGATTTATTAATAGGAAAAAAAATGAAGATTTGAAAGTGTCTGGTTTCTCCCATACGTTATTATGTCTGGTCTGTAGAAGTGGCTGGGTACCTATTTGGTTTGACAACAGGAAAAAACAATTACATTCCCAGTCAGGTGGCCAGCCATAGAAGAAAAGCCAAAACCACATAGACCAGGGACCCGGATGGCCGAGTGATCAAGGAAAAAAGAAGAAGAAAGCTCATTGCACAGACCCCAAATAGGAAAAGTGCAGTGGATGATGATGATAAATTGGGTTGTTTTTGTTTTTAAATCACAATTATTTATTCATCATTCAGTCTCTGATATTTGAACTAATAAATAACATATCACTTCTTATTTCATATAATATTTTTAAAGTAAGGAGTAGATTTAAAACTTAACTTTGCGGCCGGGGAGGCGTATTTTAAGACGGGGCCATTTACGATGAGAGGCGCAGCAGCCTTCCGCCCCGCGAGGCTGCTGCGCCTCTCATCGCTCTACTTACGGTCACCCCGGGATGTGCCTTAGTCATGGCGTACGTCAGGAAAGATCTCAGAATCCTCAGATGCATTCCTAGAGCTCCTCCCGGCTGCCGAGGTAGGCCGCTCCGGGGTTTAGTGGGTAGAGCGTTTCTCCGAGAGTCTCACACACGCCCTCCGTTTTCCCAACGCCAAAGGCCTTCGTGGCGAGTGGAGGAGAAAACCCGAAGCTAAGAGAGAGCGAAAAAGCTAAGAGATGAGAACATAACTATCACTTAAATACAATTTAAGAAATACAGTATCATTTTCGGCTCCTTGAATAATAACAAGGTTCAGAAACTCATATATTTTCTCATACTTGCATAGGATGTCGAAAGGCAATATTTATATTACCTTATCATTAGAAGTCAGATGATGAATGAGTAGTCTCATCTAGGTGGATATAAATGAGCGACAAGCGCTGTGTGACCCTTGTGCTTATATACGAAGCTTAAATATACACGTTTCATAAAAAGATTAGAATTATGGTCTTCGACTAGGACTATATACAATATTGTGGCATATTAAAACTACCACTATTTGAGGGGATCATATCTAACATTTCCCACATCTGATGTACAAAATAAATCAGTGTCACATATTTTGGATACAGAAGAATGATGTAAGTAGATAAAAGATTGAGCCATTGCTGGAGGTTTTTCAAGATGTGAATCTATACTAATATTATAAAGCTGAAGTGTTTGTTTGTTTGAACGCGCTAATCTCAGGAACTACTGGTCCGATTTGAAAAATTATTTCGGTGTTAGATAGCCCATTTATCGAGGAAGGCTATAGGCTATATATCATCACGCTAAGACCAATAGGAGCGGAGCACCAATGAAAAATGTTTCAAAAACGGAGAAAATTTATTACTATTGAGAGACGCAGACGAAGTTGCGCGGGTCAGCTAGTAATGAGTATAAAAGGATAGCTTATGAAAGGAGTTAATAAATATAGCACTATTAAAAGTTACTATGATTCACTAACATGGTGACATGTCGCCACGCTACATTACATGTTACATATAATATTACATGGCTTGGCGAAGCATGCCGTAGCGACGCTTCGTCACGCCAACCGCCGGTCTGAACAGTCTGCCCCTTCGTATATTAGATGTTTTACATAAAAAACTTTCACTAGTTCTGCTTAGTTCTTAATTTGAATGATAAAAAAATACTTTCTACAATTAAATCTTCATCCCCGGGTCAGACCCAGGCGCGGTCGCAGCCTAAAATTTTGGAGGGGGTTACTAAAAAAAAATATGTCGAGTAAATTACAGTTTTATGCACAATACACCATTTTATTGCACACATTATTAAACAAATGAAAGTCTTCTACATTTATTGGCCAATCGGGTGATAATTTTTCAGACGTCATGGGCTATCTCTGAATTATTATTTAGAAGATCTTAATTATAAAATATTCTGCATATTTTACCAAAAAGGGATAAAGTGTCAAAATAAACTAAGCTTCACCTACTTTAACTGTAGAGTAGGTAACGGGAGATAATACTGCTCAACTGATGGATGATGAAAATAGTAATTGCTATTGATAATTGTTGCCACTTTAAGCATTGCAAGAAATATGACAAATATATAAAATATAAGCAAGGTAGGTAAATCTTTAACAAACACGAATGCCCTTTTCTAGTGCCTGTTGCAGTTGTATTAATGTTTGTTAAAGATTTACCTACCTTGCTTAAGCTGTGTGTGTGCTGTGTTTTTAGCAATATTAGTATGAGAACTATTAAGTAGTATGTAGAATTTCCATGAGATTTTTCAATGAAAGTATTTTTACGATTTTAGTTGACAAATAATATAATGTAAATATTTTCAATTAATCGAGCACAGATCGCTTTTAGCCCTCGCATTTTAAGATCTTTTCATAAAATAGATAAATAAAAAGATTCTTGGCCAAAACCTAAGCTACCCACGGGTTATTTCGAGTAATGTCACGTAAAATGCGTAACGAAACTATCAGTTATCACAAATAACTTAAAACTAAAACACACAAACAGTTTTCATGATTTTTTTAAAAACTAAGATACGAAAATTTAAGCAGTAATGGTTTCAGTTGAGATTTATGTTTTATACTAAAATAAATGAACTTAAATTCCATGATCAAGTGGGAAATCTTACTCGTATCAACCTTTCATTCAAGCTTCATCCAAGTTTTAAAAAGCGCAATACCTAACCTACAAACTCACCCACACAACGAAAGAGTCATATAAAAAGAAAAACTTACCCTAGATATTAAAATTTCTTACCATTATTATCAAATTATCATTAATCAACGCTCTGATCATCAAATCAAATTAGTAATAATTAAACACATATTTTATTTTCGTTCTCAGTCACAACTACTCTCACAACATTCACAACCAAGGAAAAGCATGAAAATTCATTTTTTTATTTTTTAAATTTGTAAGTTTTTTTAGTAAATTTGGGGGGGTCATGTCCCTGTGACCCCCCTCCGTTCGGACCGCGCCTGGTCAGACCTCGTCCTCGTCGGGTCAGTTCAGTGTCATGGGTTCTCCTTTTAAGTTTAAATTTTCTTGGAAATAACATGTTCCGATATGTAAATTGTAAAACTCAAGCAGTTTCATTTTTATATGATCAGGCAGACTACTCTATCCTTTGAAAATCTAAGATTTGAACATTTTATTATTGAACGAAAACCTCTGTCTGATTAAAAAAAAAAATGGAGAAAAATGGCGGCCAAGTCAAAGAAGCGGCTGTCTAAAATTGAAAATAAGTTATTAAAATTAGAAAACTTAGAACTAAAAGATGTAATTTGTTCAATTTGTCAATCAATTTTAATAGAACCTGTTACATTACCGTGTTTCCATGATTTTTGTCAACATTGCTTTAAAGGTAGCATAGAAAATAATGCTCTGTGTTGTCCTTTATGTCGTTTGCGAATCGGTTCCTGGCTAAGGACAGCAACAAAACAAAAGAGTTTAGTGAATATTAAACTTTGGAATTTTATTCGATCAAAATTTTCACACGAAATTGACATTAAGTCGAAAGGGGAAGATATTCACTTACCACAAGGTAAACAATTATTGTATTTAGAAAATTATACAATTAATATTTTTCATATTTCTCGAATACTTAGTATCATTTCTAACTCGTATAGCCTTCTGAAATATGCAAGTATCAGCATTTTTTTGTGATCGAATTTAAATTAAAATGTCGTGTATGTTAGTGTATTGTCAGATGTTTTTTGTTGTTTGCAATGTGTTTTGGCAGGAACTCAAAATTAAAACAATAATGGCAAGCGTTCAATTTCGATTTTATGAACAATTTTAAACAACATTTAATTTATTGGTAATGTATGACATAAACATTTCAGAGGCACCTTTACTCCGATTAAGTAAACCTGGTGAGATAAGATCAGAATATGAGGCTGAAATAAGACGTTTGAGACTAGAGCGTCAGAGGCTGGAAGAAAAGCATATAGAGGAGACTGAGCTACTAATCAAGTATGGGTTTCTTTTTTAAAAAACTTACCAGGAAGTTGCCTGCATTGTTAAGTAAAAAATATAACTGATCTTCCTTTACTCTCCTGCGGTAGCAATACTGAGTCTGAGTATATAGTCACTTAGTTAAAAGATAATGAGTATTCAACAAAACTTTTAAAATTGTGATTTAGATATAATTAAAATTCAGGTTTTAATATTAAATGGTTGAATATAGTCAAGAAATTAATTATTTAATATCTACAATGGTCAGCTTGAGTGGCCTGGAGTTCTCGCAAAGCAGCTGTAAACAAACCTTCATAGAAAATACCGGATATATTTGGAAACCATGATCAGCCTATCTGACTAGTCAACTGATTAGGTGCTCGTTTCACACCTGTATGGAAGACCACAGGTCCATAGAGGTCTTACAAATAGCTGTGAAGGTTTCAGCCTTAGACAGCCTTCTTTCAACTGACTGATTAGTCAGTTAGTCAGCAAATGTCATAGCCTCTCTCTATAATTTACACTATTAAATTCAAGCATTTCTTTTGATGATATTGAATTTTAAGTGTTTTTGTTTGTATGAAGCTTAATTTAATAATATTATCTTAATTTGTTTTAGAAAACTTCAACAAGAGGAGGAAGAGGCACATAAAAACTATTTAGAAAGCTTAAAACATGATGAGATTCTAGCACAAGAAATGCACAAAGAACAAGTAAAGAGCCACATTCTACCATGCTTAAATTCTAAAACCAAATGTTTAAATCCTAAATCAACTGTTACAAAAGCCAAACTTAAAGTAACTAAGATTGATAGCTATCTTTCAAAGATGAAAATACCCTCTGTTGGAAAGTAAGTTACACCTAATTTTTTTTACAAAAATAATGATAATAGCAGTGTTTTACCTGAAATAAAACACACATTAAATACTTACCTTATTTGAAGCTTACTAGATTGAGAGTGGCGTTCTTGACTTCCGCTTTATTTTCCCTCTCTTTTGCTCTTTAGTGCTATTTATATATGTCTATCTCTTTCGCGCACATGCTTTCTCCCACCAGGTGGCGCTGTCAGATGACAGCTTAGGCTCGGTAGAGTTTTATATTTCATTGAGTCGATAATCTACACCAGGTAGAATTAGAATGTAAGCTTCAAATAAGGTAAGTATTTAATGTGTGTTTTATTTCAGGTAAAACACTGCTATTAAACACTTGACCGTTATTTGAAGCTTACTAGATTGAGACGTGTCTGTTATCACCTGGTGGAAAGAGGACGCCAATGTGATATTCATATTATTTGTATAAATGCAGTAATAATCATATGGGTTATTGACCTTAATACATTTATTTAACAAATTGGGGAAAATGTACTTGTTAATTCAGAACTAGGCCTTGTAATGGTTGGCACCACCTGTTTACAGTAATAACGGGCAAAGGTGTTTTGAGATTTCCAGTTACCCCTAGCAAGTATTTCATCTAAGGGGCAATTGTTAAGCCAACTCTTAGATGCCACCGCTGATCGCAGGCTACCCGCTGGAGCGTCTATGCCAGCTTGTAATAAGAGCGATTTGACCCAGCTAGCGATAACTGTACGAGAGGCGACCTTAGTTTTACCTCTGAGGTTAATAAACAGATTGACGAGACCGCCTTGCTGTCGTTTTTCCTTTAAAATACTAATACAGTGCTTAATCCAAAATACTGGATCTAAGTTTTTATTTGTTGTATTAGTGATTAACTTCCAACCCGACTGCCTATAATTAATTCTATCCGTTTTAGATCCAAACAAAGGCCATAAAATAAGACAGTCATTCGACTCAGAAAGGTGTGTCGAATCGACTGCAAGTAAGGTTAGGTCATGGACTCGCCTGCCTCGGAAAACTCTGAAGCTGGCCATTAGCCGCGCCAAAGAAGAAAAAAGACAGGAGATGCTGGAGGGTCTTAATCGTGACCCCTGGGGTCGCCCTTACCGCGCGGTGCGACAAAAGCTCCGCGCGTCGGGCCCCCCCCTTACGGAGACTCTCCAGCCCAGCTTCCTGCGAGAAGTGGTTGAGGGCCTTTTCCCACAACGGGCGGAACACACTCCCCCGTCGATGGCCTCCCTGGCCGGAGACGACGGGGAGCACGGGGAGGACAATGTTCCGCCCGTCCGGGATTCGGAGGTAGGGGCGGCTGTTCTACGGATCCGTTCCAAGAACACCGCCCCTGGGCCAGACGGGGTACCGGCCCGAGTGCTGGCCCTGGCCCTCAACCACATGGCAGACCGCCTCGGGGAGGTGTTCGACGCTAGCTTGGCGTCGGGACGCTTCCCTGAGTGCTGGAAGAGCGGGAAGCTGGTCCTATTGAGGAAGCCGGGACGGCCTGCCGATTCGGTCGCGGCCTATAGGCCCATCGTGCTGCTGGACGAGGCGGGCAAATTGTTTGAGAGGGTTCTTTCTGCCCGCATCGTCCGGCACCTCTGCGAGGTGGGCCCCGATCTGTCGGACGCCCAATTTGGTTTTCGGGCGGGGCGTTCGACGGTCGACGCCGTGTTGCGCCTGAGGGCCGTGACCGAAGAGGCAGTGAGCTGTGGCGGCGTGCTGTTGGCGGTGTCATTAGACATCGCCAACGCATTCAATAGTCTGCCATTCAGCTGCATCAGGGAAGCACTCCACTATCATGGGGTGCCAAAGTACCTGAGGCGGCTAGTGGCAGACTACTTAGAGGAGCGTACCGTCGTGTACGAGGACCGAGAAGGTAATTTGAGGAGTCGGCCCATGTCGTGCGGTGTTCCACAGGGGTCTGTTCTTGGACCCCTCTTGTGGAACATAGGGTACGACTGGGCCCTTCGCGCCGATTTCCCCCCCGGGCTGGGTGTAATCTGTTACGCAGACGATACCCTGGTGACAGCCCGGGGGGCAAACTTCCAAGAGGCGGCGCGCCTGGCCACAGGGGGAGTCTCCCTGGTGGTCGGGCGCATTGAGGCGCTGGGCTTACGGGTGGCCCTAGATAAGACGGAGGCCCTGTTATTTCATGGGCCCCGTCGTGGTCCACCCCCTGGCGCCTCCATCGTGGTCAACTCGGTCCTCGTACCGGTTCGGGCCCAGATGAAATATCTGGGCCTGATCCTCGACGGGAGGTGGCTCTTCGACGAGCACTTCCGACAGCTTGCTCCAAAGCTGGTCGGCGCTGCGTCTGCCCTAGGGCGACTCTTGCCCAATATGGGTGGACCCAGCGTCGCGACAAGACGGCTGTACACGGGGGTTGTCCGGTCAATGGCGCTGTACGGTGCACCGGTGTGGGCGGCGGCTCTGACCGCCCAGAATAGGGTACGCCTCTGGCGCCCTCAGAGGGTAATGGCGGTCAGAGCCATACGCGGTTACCGCACCGTTTCTACGGAGGTGGCATGCGCATTGGCCGGAACTCCCCCGTGGGATTTGGAGGCGGAAGTGCTCGCCGAAGTTTATCGGCGAGTGGCTGACTTCCGGGCGGAGAGCGGATTTCGCCCTCCGCCCGAGGATGTGCGCGAATGGCGCGAAGCCGCTCGCCGAGCCACGATGGCTCGTTGGTCGTTCCGGCTGGAGACTCCACGCGCTGGCTTCGCCGCCGTGGAGGCTCTCCAGCCGGTCATCGCCGAGTGGGCAGGGCGGCAGCACGGGACCCTTTCCTTCCGACTGACGCAGGTGCTTTCCGGGCACGGTTGCTTCGGAAAGTACCTGCACACGGTCGCTAGGAGGGAACTGAGTCCCGCCTGCCACCACTGCGACTGCAGTGAGGACTCGGCCCAGCACACGCTGGCGGTCTGCCCCGCATGGGCGGCGCAGCGCCGGGCCCTCACTGCAGTCATCGGAGTGGATCTCTCGCTACCGGCCGTAGTACGCTCCATGGCCGGTAGCGACAGTTGTTTTACCGCGGTCGCAACCTTCTGCGAGGTAGTAATCTCGCGGAAGGAGGCGGCGGAGAGGGCCCGGGAGGACGACCTCCACTCGGACCCGATCCGCCGCCGGCGAACCGGGCGGCGGAGGCCCGCCTACCACAGCCTCATGCCGCCCTGAGTGTGGCCGCGGGTGGACGGGGTGGGTTTCCCCTCCACCCGCATTAGTTTGGCCAGCCGCGAGGGGGCGGCGTCCGCGTGTGCCGGACGTCGCCTAAAGAGAGGAACATCAACACTGAGACGGAGCCCGCACCAGGAGCGGGCTGGCGCTAGGAGGGGTCCGGATGTCTTAACAACAGCTGTTCCCGGATCCCTCCTGTTACAGGCGCAGAGTGGCACACCGTGTGGTTTTAGTCGGTCCGAGTCCGACACACCACCCCGCCGCAAACCCCGGAGGGGTGACGGTCCGAGGGGATTTCCACACGTTAAAAAAAAAAAAAAAAAAAAAATGGACTCGCCTGCCTGAACAGAGGAGTAATAATGTCGCTGTATGTCTACAAACTGCAAATGCATTACTTTTATCTATGTCATAACTTTCTAAGTATGTCACTAGTTTGTCCACGTCCCAAATTGTTGGTTTCTTAGTCGCTGGCTTCTTCAGAGCGATGGACTTAAGTATATGAGTGACCAAGGTGTGCGAGTTTAGTCCACCGGCATCCTCAGCGTTGCATAAAGTGCAAACTACGGACTTATGTAGCAAAATTGAATTATAGGCTAGCCCTTCTACGATATACAGATCTGCTAAAAACCGAGCCAGGTTCTGGCCAGCCGGCTGGAAGGGGTTTACCCCATGCTTCGTGGTCCAAGTTAGCCATCTGTTCCAGGCTACTTTATAAGTCTTCCTCGTGGACGGGCGCCAAGAAGACTTTAAGAGCTCTACCTGATCATTATTCCATTGTTTAAGGTTTTGAGACCACCCCCCCCAACACTTCCATATCTCTAAGGTCATTTCTTGGACCCTTGGCGGTGGCAGACATGTAACTGTGTCTATCAGGTATAGATGTAGGTTCTGGATCACGAACGGTGGGGCTAGAGCAGCTTTCACGTCCGCTCTCCAGAAAACTTGTTCCCACCATGGTACTACCAGAAGGTATATTCCCGAGGCCGAGTTGAGATGTGCTAATACCTTGGGAACTAGGTAAGGTGGTGGAAAGACCCAGGCCAAGGGATAGTTCCATTTCTGAGAGAAGGCATCGTGATACATCGCATGGTTGTCGTTCAGGTCCAGTGATACATAATTCGCTACTACTTTTGCCTGTTGCGACGCAAACAGGTCTATCACAGGAACTCCGAATCTTTGAAATATTTTCTCTGTACACTGTGCTAAGAGGTGCCACTCCGGTGGGTTGCGGTGACGAGATAGGTGATCTGCATGACAGTTGAATATTCCTGGTAAGTGTTGCATCTTCAGGCTTATTTGGTACTGGTCTAGATGATGAAACACTTCTTTTGTTAGTTGAAGTAATGGAGCGGACCTGGTCCCTCCTTCGTTTCGCAGGAAGGCAATAACAGTCTTGTTGTCGCTTTGAACTAGCACTGTTGCCCTGTACAAGAGCGGACCCCGACTTTGTATTGCCTTCAGTATAGCTAGCATCTCCTTTTGATTGCCATGAAGGTCTTTCTCCTCTTTGCTCCATGTTCCCGACAGTGCAAGGCCATCGAGTTGGGCTCCCCACGCCAGGTCTGATGCATCTGTAGTCAAGAAGTGTGTCGGCATCGGGAGGTGGATCAGAGAGGTGCGGTGACAATTTTGCCCCCACCAATTGAGTTCTCGTTTCACTTGTATAGGTAGAGTTACACTGACAGAGTTTTCTTTTTCTTTCTGATTCAGGAATACAAGTGTATCCCGAAACTGAAGTCGACCCTTCGGTACGGCGACACTGGCAAAGTTTAATAAACCTACAAAACTTTGTAGCTCTTTTAAAGTCACCATATGCTTGTGTAAAAGGTTCGACACGCTTCCTTTTATTTTTGAGATCTTTTCGCGTGGTAATGATCTCTCGTTCAGCCATGGGTTCCATTTGATACCTAGAAAAACCAAGCTTTTGCACGGGAGTAGGACAGATTTCTGATAATTTATTTGCCAACCCAGGTAGGTTAGACGATTTAATACTATTTGCATATGTCCTTGTAACGCGTGATAGCTTTGATGCGCTACCAGAAAATCGTGGAGGTAGACCAGTACCCGTATACCATCGTGTCTTAGAGTCTCGGCTACCCAATTCGTTAACATCGCAAAAATTCTGGGTGCTGTACTGAGGCCGAAGGGAAGGCACGTCATTTGAAACAATTTCCTTTTGTATATGAGCCTGAGGAATCGCCTGCGAGACCGAGCTACGGGCAGGTTGAAATAGGCCTGGGAGAGGTCTATTTTGCAAAGCCAGTCGTTCTGTTGAAGAAAGTCTGGGACTCTGAATACGTTGATCAGTTTGAACGGTTTTGTGTAAACAAATTCGTTCAGACTCTTTAGGTTGAAAATGGGCCGAGCAGAGCCGTCGGTCTTTGGAATGAGAAACATTGTTGACAGAAAACTTGGTGACAGTTTTACTTCCTCTAGCACATGCTGCGCTACCATTTGAGAAATGATAGCTGACATCGCCTTGGATTGCTTCGTTGCGAACGAGCTTTGTAGATTGGGTAGCATGAGAGCTGGTTTTTTGATAAAAGGTATGCGATACCCTTTTATTATGCGAAGCAGTATGTTCGGTGCTCCCAGTTCCTGCCATCGATCGACATAGACTCTCAATTGGCCTGCTCGGAAGTTCTGACAGTCAGAACTTACCTCTCTTACCTCCCGTGTAATATTCACTGGTTGACATTCTCTTCCTGTTACTCCCGCTCGTATCTCGTTTGTCTTTATTATGGTTAGCTCCTCGTGATCGAAAGGATCCACGAGTGTTGGGGTTAGATTCTCGAACCAATCTTTGGCCAGAGTTGGTTCTATACGAAGGCTGGTGATATCCACAGCTTTGCGCAAGCTGTTCGTGTCCCCAGCCCTGCGAGGGCTGAGAAGCGCATGGCCTATCGTAGCATGCTAGATGGGTACCCTGCGGGGGTACGTAATGATGAGCTGACCCCTGCGAGGGATAGCGACTGGGTTTTTTAAATCCTGTTTGCGAAACAGGTTTATAAACATGTGCTTTGTTTGGGGGTAAGAAAGTCTTCTTAACCCCTCCCGCCTTCTCTAATGCCAGTGATAGTAACTCAGCATTAAAAATGTGTTGATAGGACGGCGGTATTTTGCGTAAGGTAGCCTTAACAAGTGGGTCTCGAACGTAATTTGTTATCCCATCTCTACGCATTTGGATCGTTTCTGCACGATGACCACAAATAAGCTGAAGCATATCCGAGTAGACTTTATTATAGTCCCCATCGGCAAAAAGTTCCGTGATTTTGTCATGTAATTGATCCGCTGTCACATTACCTTTGCTCCTAGTCCAAGAGACAAGGTCACACATACTTTTTTGTAGCTGATCACGTTGTTTAAGTGCACAGAAAGTCAAGGCACTATACGTTTTATCAGCGTGCGCTAAATAGCGTAGGGAATCGTAACTTTTTATTTCCTCGTTAACCTCCAGTTCAGTAAACCCAGGCGTGTGGGTATACATTTTCTGTACCTCCGAGTACCTAACCTCACACCATTCACTTTGGTCTAAGCGTTGAATCTGTTGTAAAGACTTGAGAAAATCACTAGGTGCCTTAGGAACAGAGGGCTCCTTCAGTTTTACTTGCAGGTCAAATTTAAACTGTCGATATTCCCGTAATGCTTCGTCGTCATTACACATAGACTGATTTTCAAGTAAAGAAATTTCGTCATATTTATCTGCATGTAAGTCTACCGACCCGTGAGGTGACATTTCCGGTTGACTGTTTCCTACACAGTTATCACCGTGAAAAACGCGATTACGTAGTTCACCAACTTCTTGCGATAATTTGAATAGCAATTCGTCTTTGCGACTACGGTTCCAACCTTTATTTTTATGGTAATGACGGCGCTGTCTTTTCTTTCTACGAGATGATTTCACAGATGACGAGGTTGAAGAACTACTAGTAGAACTAGAGGTCGAATCTGAATTCGATCGTTGGTCTCGACGCGATTTAGACGTCTTATTTTGTAAGCCAGAGGGTCCCGGCACCTCTCTTGGCTCGAGATCATTTGATTTCTCCATTCTATTTTGACGAAAATTCGAGCTATTGTATTACGCAGACCTCTATCTAGGATGATTAAACACCAAGGAAAATTTAATAACTAAAGAAAGAGGGTATTTTACATATGATACACGTTACTATAACTTCTAAACGGGGCTAAAGTCTAACACCGTTTATATGAATAATACTTCGCCCATTATAGCAGCGCACATTATATTGTTGATTTCTTTTTTTTTTTTTTTTTTTAACAAGTAAATGTACTCACAGTTTTGTTGCGGGTATAGGTGTATCACACGTTCACAATACTTATTTCTAAATGTAACTTAATAGCGATCCTGTTATAGATATTAAGTATATTTTTTAACGAAAATTCTGCAACATTGAGCAGCCAACGACTGCTCTGAGCGGAATTTTAGACGCCAATGAAATATAAAACTCTATCGAGCCTAAGCTGTCATCTGACAGCGCCACCTGGTGGGAGAAAGCATGTGCGCGAAAGAGATAGACATATATAAATAGCACTAAAGAGCAAAAGAGAGGGAAAATAAAGCGGAAGTCAAGAACGCCACTCTCAATCTAGTAAGCTTCAAATAACGGTCAAGTGTTTAATCTGTGATTTGTGCAATATACACTTACTAGTATATTCTGTTCATTCATTCATGTTCTTACAACTCATTAAGTAGTCGAGTAGTTAGTGATGACTAAAAATAGTCTGATGCACATAAAATAACAAAAAAATTAAAGAAAGTTTTAATTAGTTTGAGAAAACTAAAACTTTTATTTTATCTGAAATGCTGAACTTATAAATTAAACTTCTATTATTAAAAATTTAACCTTAAAACTAAACTTGTACTGATTTAGGAATAGTTATTAATATTCAATCTAGAATGTGTATTAGAAACCTCAAATAAAACAATTATTTTTATCATATTACAACAATATTTATTAAAGTATATAATGTTAAAAATGATTATATAAATATCAAGTTGACATACATAATATATTCTCTAATTCTTTATTTAATAATTTAATTAACAAACTGGCATATTTACAATCTCAGAAAACTTGAAAAGAAAATAAATAAGAATGCAGAGTGTAGTCATCTTATCATCATGTGTATGAAGTATGTAAATTATTGAATCAACAATTTATAGATATTGCACCCTCGGTGCAACAAAGTCACAACAGGTCATTTTGTAATTTTACAGGAACGGACTTTAAGTTTTTTTTCGATCAATTTTCCTTTTTTCTAGATTCATGTAAAAAGATTTCTTTGATTTTATTAGAAAATTGAAAAAAAAGGAAACAAAAAAAAAGTCATAACTTGTGACTATGTCGCACCAGGTAAAAATATAATTTAATTATTTGAGCGTTATAATGGCACTTTGTTTTTTCAATATACGTGAATAAAAATTGTCATTAATACCTTTAAGCTGGTGTAGCTCCAAGTCACGACTGACGCATGCGGGCGCGGGGTCACTACTTACCAACCCAATGTTCTCCCAATATTCGTCGAAAAAGTAGCAAGAACCACAAAGGCACTAATGCCATCTATCGATATATTCAAATACTTTCGCGGCGATTGATTTCCCAAACGAAGAAATGGTTTATAGACAATTTGGCATACTTAAGTCATTTTGGCAATTTTGCCTACTTGTGACTTGGTTGCACCGAGGGTGCGATATATTATTTAATAAACATGACATTCACTATAGCTCTTTTTTATGTTGTGCTAACTTTGCTTTATTTTTATCTAGCTTATAACAAGAATTAATCAAAGACTGTCTAACATTTCAGTAGTCCATTACTAACTGATGATAATACTAGTACAGACAGTTCTACACCCAAAGTCCACCAGTCTACTAAATCTCTCAATGGACCTTCCCCTGAAATAGTCCCAAGCTATGGAAAACTAATCAAGAGCTTTATAGATAAAAGAGTTAAAAATGCTCCTAGTTTATGGAATAAAGAAAATGGAGACGCTTTTAAAGAAAAGGTAAGATTTTTGTTTAATCTTATTGCCTAGTATGAGTGGTCTAAAGTTAATGGACCTCTTTAATATCTACTTTTGCCATGTAACAAATGGGCCAAATCTACAATATGTCTAGTTAGGAATTTAATCAACACTTGTGTAAAGTAGGCTTTCTAGCCTGTGTTTAACGTACAACTCTTTAGTTTTATTGTATTAAAAGATAGCACATGTACTTTCAGCACAGGATTTAGTGGCAACTATAACAATGAAACAGATTTTAATAATCTCTTAAATCTACATGTGTTTTAAACTAAATGGGACTCAAAATAAATCGATTATTGGGATAGCAGTAATAGTAAAAACAATAGACAAATGGCATCTGTGACTTAATCGCCAGTGTACCATTAAAATAAATAAACATACAGAAAAGGCGTACAAATGCTTTTTTTAAACTTAACATTCTACTTGTTGTGTGTACAGTACTGTGTGTTTTACCATTATAATTTTAAAATATTTCAGAATGAAGATCCTTCTAAGCAGGTTGAAAAAGGAGTAACTAGTACTGAAGATATGTCGAAAGTTAAGAGCTCAGTTCCTTCATTACTTGTCTCATTACCATATACAGGAATACTTCAACACAAATTTAATGTAGCTGACAATAGGAATATAGAGACCAGCAGTGTTGATTCTATGCGAGAAGAGTTATGCTATTTTAAACCCATTGAAGCAACTACACCTACTAGGTATGTCTTTGAGGTTTTAATAAGTCAGTTGTTGGACTGTAAGGATTTTGAAGTTATGGAAGCCGTCAACTTGGCAAGTTTCATTTACCTAAATTCCGATTATCTGGGCCTCAATTCTGCTATTTTATGTTCACGCCAAGCCACTGTCATACCACTGACACTTACTATGGCAATCTTTTTGGTATCACCACTGATGAGCCACTGCCATTCCATCACCACTGTAAAGACACTGAGTTAGTGTAGACTACCAATATTTATACCTATGCCAATGGCCACTCAATGGCATCTCAATAGCGTGTCAGTGGTATTTTTTGGTATTGGTTGTGGGCTTCGATTTCCGCATTTAGACTCAAGAGTGGTCCTTTATACGTCGAGGATTGGTTAGCTAGGTGAGCCAACCAAGCTCCTTCCAGAAGCGCAGAACCCTCCTGGGGCGTTCACAGGCTTCTAGGAGCGTGTCAGTGGTATGACAGTGCCTTGGCGTGAACATAAAATAGCAGAATTGAGGCCCTGATTGTCATAAACTACGAACTTACACATATACAATTCGCGATTCTGGCACCTTAATAATAATTGTGAACTCTAGAGTAATATTCTCGTGTTCACAAGAATCTTATAAAGTTGGAAGGTGCAGAAGGTACAATGTGGCCCGGGCGGCCATTAAATATGTTTGGTTTATATAAATAAGACAAACAAAAACACGTGAAAACTAGTGACTATTTCAATAGTCTGGCCCTTTTTGCCCCTCAAGTGATAGTATGATATTAGTAGTCCTTATCCATCGCTTATTAAATAGATCTGCGTATTCCCGCACTCGGGAAATCGAAGTCAAATTGAAAAATTGAAAAACCAATTTTTCAATTTGACTTTGATTTGCCTGGCGCCAACACAGTTCCATATTTCAATGTGAATGTGTGGCAATAACTTACGCTGCCACAACGGCCATGTCAAGAGGTATTAAGGACTACAACATCCGAATAATATCCGACAGCATGGCCGTCTTAAAGGCATTGGAGGGCAACACAATGACCTCTGGTATTGTCTTCGAATGCCACCAAGCACTGGAACAGCTCGCTATATTCAATGGGGTAATCCTCCAATGGATTAAAGGGCATAGTAACTCACACGGGAACGATGCCGCAGATGAGTTGGCAAGGAGGGGCTCGGCAACCCCAACCTCTGGCCCAACCCCAGTCCTGCCCATATCGTTTAACCAAATACGATGCTGGGTCAGGCAACGGACCTGTGAAGCACACAACCGGAGGTGGAAAAACTCACCCGGCTGCAGACAGTCCAAACTGGTGCTGAATCAAGTCACACCACGACTCACCTGCAGACTGATCAGTCTTAGCAGACCGGAAATCAGAACGGTTGTCGGTACTATTACAGGACACCTAGCCCTGAACCGACAACTATTCATAATCAATGCGACGGACAGTCCCCTGTGCAGGGGATGTCTGGAAGCTGAAGAAACGGCCGTCCACGTAGTCCTGGAATGCGAGGGAGTGGCCACACAACGGGCAAGTATCATTCCTGACACAAAGTCGCTCCTAGAAGCCTGTGAACGCCCCAGGAGGCTTCTGCGCTTCTGGAAGGAGCTTGGCTGGCTCACCTAGTCAGCCAATCCTCGACGCATAAAGGACCACTCGGAGTCTAAATGCGGAAACCGAAGCCCACAACCAATACCAATACCAATTGCCTGGCGCCTAGAACGACCACGTCTCAAATACGCCGCTGTTATCAGTGCCCACCCAGGAATGTCGATCTACTACCAACATCACTTTTATATGGCAGTGTTTTCTATATAGAGTATAGTATAGTATCTTCAATAATTGAACATGGATATTTCGATCTTACCGACGACTAAAATTGTTCTGTAACTAACATGTACTGTAAATTTCTATGTATAATTGTTTTGGAAATAAATTTATGATTATATTATATTAATATTAATATAATTGCTCGGTGGTGCAGTGATTGCGTATGCGACCGGTGTGCTGTGGTCTCGGGTTCGATTCTCGGGTCACACCCAATGTTTGTATCATCTGCATTACACAAAAGTAATAAGTATTCAATCAGTCAATCTAGTTTGAAAGTACAAGTTCTGCTTAGTTTGAAACTTAACTAGTGTGTCAGATGGCCGAAATAAAAAAAATGCACAATTTATGTATTATGCTTCTTGCACAAACATGGCATACCGACTTAACACCAGCATTCACGTTTACAACCAGAGAAAGTACATTTAGGTGATGAAGAGAAGTTTTGTGAATGTTTATTGTTAGAAATCACAGTAGGGATTATGCATTTTAATAAATGACCAGAAAATAAAAAAGAAGAAAGAAATATTTATTTTGATAGGAAACAAGATACGACACACAAAACCAAAACATAACAAAACAGTATTAAATCAGTTTGTTTTATTATTTAGAAAAGAGAGAAAGATTAAAATACACTACCTAAATATCATATACAGCCTAAACTAAGCAGTATGCGTAGCAGTATCTGATAAATAAGATGTTGATGTATTTCAAATTTATTTATTACAGAATAACGTTTTACAATTACATTACAGAGGTTATAATAATAGTTAGTATATGACTTAGGCTATAATTAATTGGAGTGTTTGCTGTTCCCCTAGATAGGCAATTTCATTTCATTTCATACCAAAACTCAATATATCAAATTGATTTAAATATATTCCGCCTTCTTCATTATTGAATACTATTTTCAATAAGAAAGAAGGCGGAATATAGGCGGTATGGAAAGAAATCGTAGGAATACGTCTTCGTTCTCATCACACCATATTTGTACTGGGTGGGAATCGAACCCAAATATTTAAATAAATGTTAGTCATTTTCTTGACAATATATTTTTAATTTTCAGTTTTAATACAAAATTGGGTCTGCCAATCAGAGTGCCAGGCGTTCGAGTGCATAGGCAAACAGCTTCGCCGTCTTGTGAGCAGGAGCCAACTAGAACGCAATATTTAGATGGCCTCTGTCGCCTTCGCCATAAGTCCCTAACAAAAAACTTGTCATCCGCTTTTGTAATTGCAATTGATATTCTAAAAATTGAAAAGGTAAATTGTATTTGTTTAGCAGTTCCATTTTAACAAACCATGTTCGAAAGGCTAATCTAAAACAAATTATTTTGTTTAAGGAACCTGCAAAGTGTGATACAAGCAGGGCTAAAGTCAAGAAAACTGTATCAACAAGCCCATGCTTAGCAACAGCCTTGCCAATTAAAAGAAATGCCAATAGAAATAAACAGATTGTACATATTGAGGGTATTCATAAACTAAATGCTAAAACAAATTTAAGACGTACAAGGTCCATGGGTAGTATATCAAAAGACGAAAATGAAACAACACCTAAGAAAGGCATGGTGAAACCGAGAAAAGTGTTGTCTGAACGAAAGCCATATTTAAGAAGTGATTCTAAAAAATCCAGTACCAAAAAAGAATTGAGCAGTCCAATAATTTCAGAATCACTTAATAACAATAAGGTCAATTTAGCTGTAAAAAATTTGTCTAGTCCATTGAAGAATTGTGATGTTAAGAAAATATTGCAAGAACAACTTCGGATTGAAAAGTTAATTGAACAAGAAAAGAATGACTTTGAATTTGCTAGGAAAATGGAAGCAGAATGGAATTGTCGAAGACATCCGCGCCGAGCGACTATTAAACGCCAAGTGACTTTAAACTATGCCCTCAGGCCTGCCAAAAAACTTAAAGTGTAAATGTTAATTTAATTGAAGCATTTTTTAGTTAGAAAATTTCAGTGGTTGTTTATTTAATTCTGTCTGTTACTCTACATATAACTGTTAGTTTTATCTTTATTGATATAAGATCCTGAAATGTAGTCAGCTTCAGATATTAGACTTATAATAAATGACAATGGGGAAGTTTGCAATTTCAATGTCCATAAAATATTAATATGGTGTTTAGGCTTAAAATTAATAAATAACTTCACTAGGAGTATATTGTTACAAAAAGTAATCCATTGATTGTATCAGCAATCTTCTCCAAGTTTTTAAGATATTTTAAAACACAGACTGGTTGATAGCAGCTTGTATTTCTCACCGATTATTTTATTTTTAAATAAATTTCATGTAAATGTAAATATATGTTATACAACCTTATAATTATAATCGTACTCAATGAAAAAAAAAAGTAATTAATTACCACTTGGACTTAGTGCAAATCCTATTTAAACAGATTTAGATATCAAGTGCAAATCCTATTTAAACAGATTTAGATATCAAGCAATTAATAAGAATATTAGTCGTGTCATGTTTGTTCTTTCGTTTTGTTTGTTAATTCATTGCTCTTTTTCTTTCGTAAAAAACTGGGGTACTAGCTAATTTATTGGCTCAATTACTATTCAATTACTTCTATTTTCTTAGTTATGAACATTTTTATTGCATATTGAACTAAAATATTTTTTGTCATTCAATTCATCCTAGACATGCATACAACTTGCCGACATATTGGGCAGATTGAGCTGTCGCATGTTTAAACTAAAATTCGTTGCTATTGTTAAATCCAAGAAATAACTAAGAAATTAGATCAGTAATTGTTATTTCTAAAATTGAAATTGATAATATTTATGAAAATTCGAAATCTCAACTTGGTTCTCAAAGTTTGTTGTTATACTTAAAGCAAATTAAATAGTGTAACTGGTTTCTAGTAAAAATAAACACTGATACCAATACTTCTGAATATTAAAGTAGGCTTTGCTCTTAAATTTAGGAACAATATGTAATTAATAGGATTGTATCTAGTAAACTGATTTTTATTTTTTAATCCAGCAAAGGCTATGTTAGTAAACTTATAGCAATAAAAGAAAATAAAAAAGAAATAAAAGATCTCTTAAAAAAATTGTGGCTTAACAGTTCCATTTGTTAAATATACCAGATTGTATTTTTTATAAACTGTAGCCACAAGGCATTTTCAAAGTTTACCATATAATTGATTATAAATATACACTAAATATATGTTGGATAAACATCGAATGCTGTTCATTACAGCACGTGTTTAGGGTCATATCGAGGCAAAATCAATGTCGGGGTAGCATAATATCTAAGTAATCAAATCAATCCAGACTACCTCTAGTGCACTACCGACTTGAATCTACTCTTATCATAAGATTAAGTGATACGAGAAATATTACTATCATAGTCATGACCCCATGTAATCTCTGAAGGATAGAGAAAATTAGGAAGTTTAAAAAAATATATATTTGGAGATGTTGGAATTCATATGGAGACAAATCTTCCAATCACAAAATTATCAGATTAACTACTGAACAAATTCTTAAATTTAATTCTTTTGTTTATTTTTCGTACCGAAAATGAAACCGTATTTTATTGTAAAAGTGTATAAGTTTTATATGACAAGCAAAAAACTTTTATTTTCCTCGGGTGTGGCGTTCCTTGCCGGCGATTACGAAACTTTGACGACAAAGTGCATGGAGATTTGCTGTCCTTTGGTTGTCTGGGGTTGCGATTATGGATCAACCTAAGGCAAGCTCTCAGAGAGATGATGTAGTAGGTATCAGAAACTGTCGCAGTAGGCGTGTTCAAATAGTACTACACAGCCTTTAAGTTTTTCAATTAACAAGCCTAAATGTTATTACAACTTACACAACTACGTATGCGAACCGATAATACTTGTGATAGCTCTCCCTTTATTAATAATTATATTAAGTTCATTCATCATTCGCATGTTTTAAGCTGCCGGATCTAATGATTTGCGTTTCGGTAATATGCTTGTCATTCATATAACTGACAAATGTAAGGCGCACTATTTTCAGTGATCTAAGCGATCCACTGGACGGGTATTCGCTTATAACACAAGTATTTAGAGTGGAGATGGTAAATATTTATCAACTACAGTACTCGAATGTTTTGTGTTGTGTGTTTTGACTCATGTTTTTTGTAACAAACTCGAGCTGATCATGCCTTGTAGATGCCAATGCCAATGCTTGATAAAAATTAGCCAAATAGCCAGCAAATCAGCATCAGCATCAAACAGTATGCAACAGCATCTGAAGTAGATGCGACTACTTTATTCCGTATTCGGTGTAATTATCATGGTTGGTTTGTACATCAACACCTTCCATGGATCTCATGACTTGTGATTATACTTGTGATGTAAGAATTTTAAGTTTAAAATGTATAAGGTGTACGTATTTATAACTTGGTGCTCTTGAATCGTGTTTTCATGGAAAGCTTCCACAACATGCAATATTACAAACATAGCGTAAATTATGTAAAAAACTGGTTTATTTCTATTTATAGTGTCTTATGAGGCAGCTATAGAAGCAAAGTAATTTTGTGATCGTCCATTTCCTGTAATTATACACATTTCTTTATTACAAAATTGTCATAGATTATAATAAGTTCTAATTCTATAATCCAATATTTGATATCCTAAAATGAATATTATTGAAGGCCGTAATTATTGTATACCAGAATTTCATTCGAATATATATAAATGCAAAAATGATGTAACACAAAATAAATTGAATACAGACAAGTTATACGTGAATTTACTAAAATTAATTACCCAGTATTTATGTAGGGACAGTCTTTAATATCTGATCATGTTCATGAATCAAAAAAAAATATGCAATGGTATGCTTCATAAAACCCTAAACAGCTTTGCCTTACAATAAATTGTAAACACTCCGTGACATCATAAATATGTAAGTACATAGTATAATAAGTAAAAAATAAATAATAAACAAATAATAGTAAAGTTATATCAATAATATTGCTACAGTCAAAGACTAAATATTGTGCGCAATCCTTTATTCATTTTTTTCAGTGCAAAGTGAGGTTCATAAATATTTATACTCTAAGATAAATATTTTGATGTCTCCAATTTTTTCTTAAATTCTTTGATAAATTGTAACAATCTCCTTACAAAAGTAAATCCTATTGTAATCTAAGATAAAGAAACACCATAGATGGATTACATTTTAGTTTAACAAATTTACCATCAACGTTGTTCGTTCCTCTAATGCCAACATTGCGTGTGATAAAATGAGATAGCAAGAGCCGATCGTGCACGTCTCGAAGCCGTGCGCGCCACTAACCGATGACTAGTCTTGTGCTTAATCGGACATCTGCAGGTTCGCACCGTACTAGTACAATTCGTACAACGTACTAGCACACCGTAATGGTACTATTAGTACAGTTTTAGTAGAAGTAGAAAACTTAAGCGTTTGTATTGATATTACCAACATTAATGAAACGGAATACTAATAATTAAATAAATTAAAATAAGTAATTTAAAAAAAAAGTGTTATAGTTTTTTTTTTATATGGATGGCTTTGTATTAAACAGTTCTTGATTATTTTTAATGTGTTATCCCTTTCTAAATAACATAAACCTTAACAGTTTGACTTTTAAATACGATTTTTAGATTACTTTACACTAAATTTTTAAGCATAGGTACTATTTGATTTTCCTTCATACTTTACAACCCAACGTATTGTAGTACATCCTGTATCGCTGTCTCTTTTACTCTCACACTGTTTACCAATACAGAACAATAAAGCGGAGCATTAATAGTACGTCGCACAGCGAACGAACGTAGACACTAGTAGACAGAGTAAACAATAGATAGTTTTAGTACTGCGCTTGAAGTTGACAGTGTGTACTAATAGTGCAAAATGTCCGATTAACAGCTGCCTTTCGGACACATTACTTTTAGTACAATACCCAGTACTAGTACCTATCAGTACATCGTACGTGTACTACCCAAGACTACCGATGACAGCTATATTTGTTTTTTAACCAACTGGTTGATAGTGACCGCTAAATAATTTTCTGAATTATTGGTTTTCTGTATATAGTAAATCGGACTGTGCTTATCAGATAGTATTAATTATTTTAAATGGCGTGCACCGTTTCCGGCTGTTCATGTCGATTGGGTGTTTTGACGGAGAATAATGGGAATATATCATTCCATCGGTAAGTCATGCTCTTGATTTATGTACTTTTCGAAATTAAATCGTAAGTACTGAAAGGTTATATCATAATTAAAATCAATTATTGTTAGCTTAGAAATGTTTTTCACCTGAATTTAGCGCCAATGTTGTCTTGTTTTCATAAAATATTATTTTATTTACTTTATAGTGTTGTAGGTCCAAAATTCTTAATCCCAATATCGATAAAAAACTTTGGGGCTAAGAACCTGCGAACCCCAGATCTTTTTTATTTTATAAAAGCTGTGAGTTTTTACAACACCAAAGTTAAAAAATAATAGAACCTTACCTACTTACGTTTCCGATTTTTTGCAGATTTCCGGCTGACGTCGACTTAAAAAAATCATGTGTTAAAAATGTAAGGAAAGGAGATGAATGGAAGCCCACACAGTATACCAGGATCTGCTCTTTACATTTTGATAAATAATAATTTTCGCGAGGGTTATGGACTAAAAACCCTACATTCGTATGCAGTACCGACAATATTTCCTAATCAACCATTATCGCGTCGACCAGTGAGTGCAAAATAATTATAATCAAGGTGTAAGTAATTTGTGTTCATAAAAACAACATGACTGTATGTATATTTTCAGAAATTACCTAGAAAAAGAAAACTTGTACCGAAATATGGCGAGACCTCTGCTGCGAGAAAAGTAAAGTCGGAGCAAGGAAAGTCGGGCTACCTAATATTATACAAAAAAATACCATGGATATTTTCGAAATATGCGGTGGTACGGATGCGTT